TGGAAGATCGAATGCAGAATTCCCCTTTGCTGAAGAAATATTTATACATATGAAAAAGAAAAAAAAAGAATATTTGAAAAATAATAAAATTGTATTTATTATTTATAATCTCATAAAATATAGCTGATAGAAAACATTGCGAAGAATAATATTTTAAAATAGTCTAATGTCTTCTCTCAAAAGTAAAATTAACTGAAAGATATTTTTAGAAGCAATTTGATGATGTTATTTCTAAATGTCCATTTGGTTCAAATTTTAAACGCTTAAGAAATGTGAGGAACATTTTAATAAGATTTAAAACTAAGTCGTAAAAAACTATAGAGCGACTTAATTTTTGTACTTTTCCTTTGAACGCATGTTATTGGCAAAAAATCTAAAGCCAATCGATGCGACCCTTCTGCAAAGGGTAATTCGGCACCCAAACATATGTAACTGCGACTGCATGGCATGTCCTGGGTCCTTCAGGACTCGCTTGTTCTGGGATGCAAGCGCCCGAAAGCATGCAGCACTGAATGCGAACAAACAGAGGCCATGGCGGTGGCAAAAGCAACTGAGGCAGCAGCATCGTTCGCCAAGATATTGCACTACTACACTGGGAAAAATTAATCACAGCAATTGGTCAGCTTTTTGGGTTTTTTATGGTATTTTAATGGCCTTGGTTTTTAAAAAGGAGGTAAAGAATAAAGTCTCATATAAATAATAAATAATAACTCTAAAATACAAAATTTTATTTACGTAAAATTGAAATTCAAATGGAGTATGAATGTTTTATTTGATAAATATTTTTACATTTAGATGAGATCCGTTTTTGTCTTAAATCCGAAAATTCTTAATCTTTGATAACTTTAGTGAATTTCAAAGAACTATTTTCTCTCTGTGTAGGACTGCTGAAAAATGCAATGGCATGTACAGCTACCATTGCCGCTGCAGCTTTAGTCGGTTGCTTTTTTTGAGGGGTGGTGGGTGGAAAGTGGCAAGTAGGAGAAGGATATGGTGGTTCTGGCGTCGCAGTTTGCCAAGCCATCCGGGCATTAAGTTATTTCGTTGAATTAAAGCCCGCACTTGCGCCATTTGACTTTTGGGCATCACTTGTTTTTATGTGCATAACCCACAAAACCAAGCACCTCCCATTTCGACCCCCTTAACCCCCTGAAGCCGCCGTCGCTGTTGGCTTTTCCTCGCTGAACGCTTAGTTGAGTTTAGTTTAATTTTGCACACTCGTCGAGCAATTTGAGCTTGGTTCCTCACATCAACTCACATCCCATTTAGCATTCGCTTTTGGCCTCCTTTAAAGTTGTGTACCTTGAAAAGTGTCCCATTTTCTATTGTTAAAAGGTTTTTTTTTTCATGCGCTTTGATTTTGTTTACGTTTTACGCCAAATGATTTGTTGTTGAACTTAATACAAGTTGACAAAAAGGGAATAACAATGGCAGCTGTTGCAAAAAGCAACAATGTGTGCCCTACCACGGGAGGGGTTTGTGTTTTGGGGGGCGGGAAAGGGGGTGGCTTGGGTGGCAGGTAATGGGGGTGGGGGAGTGCAAAAGAACAACAATGCCATAGGATAAACAAACAAGGCGAAGCAAGGCAACGTCTGTTCGAATGTGGCAAATCATTTCAAACTTTTCAATCGACATTGGTAAAACATTTCGGTGAAATTAAAAGTTAATAAAAGGGTTAATTTAGGAATCAATCAAAAAAAGTAAACAGTTTAAGATAAACGTAAATTACTTAAATATTGACTAAGCTCTTTTAAGTTAACCATTTTTGGCATAGTTAAACAGAATAATACTTTTTTAGGGTTATTAAACAGCTGACAAGTTTATTTTAAAGTATTAATTATAAATACAATTTCTTTAATAATATATATTCTGCCCTTTAAATATTTAATATGATTGTGGATTATAGAGAGAAACTAGTAAATTGGAAAACTAAATATTTTAGGCTTATTTACCGAAGCTAATACATGAATTACGGGTCTGCAGTTTCCTTAGTTTTGCACCACTGTAACTTGTATATGGCAGAATGAAATGAATCCCAATCGCATGCTCAATATTTTAGCATTGCCAAGGCACACGTCTTTGTGTATGTGTTTTTTGCACAAATGTATGTTTCCACTTCCTTCGACGATTTCCGGTTTGCCCTCTCTTTTATTTACCTCCTGCTTTCTAGCTAGGAAAAATTCCCATTTTCCTCCACACACACATACATACAGACTTTTCTCTTGCTTCCACTTTTTGTGCTGGAATTATTTTTATTTCTTTTTCTATGAAAGCAATTTATCGATGTGTGAGAGGAAGGACTGCAACGAAAAAATAGAAATATTTATGGGAATGATCGCAGAATGAATGCCACGTAATTCGATGCTGTTGGCAACATTTGTCATTGTTGATTTTGGCCAGAAACGACTTTATAGCCAGCCATATACGTAGCTCGTCCGTCGAGGCCAATAACTTCTTCAGCATTACGCACAAAAAGTGAACGCGAAATTGCGCGTAAGTAATGCCCATTGTACGCGACTTCAAAGGACAGGGGCGGGAAAAGTAGTGGCTGAGGGGGGCTTAAAAATACATAAGGACAGAGCAATTCGAAGCCAAACAAAGGAATGGAAACAAAAGCAGCGCAAAATGAACTGAACAGGAACATTATAGAAATTCTTGCCCCTCTTTTTCTAGGTACACACAGGAAAACTTTCAAAAACACACAAAAAGAAACGGATACGTAATTTAATATTCTTTTAAAATTTCTTGTTTAATTCATATAAGTATTGAATCACATGGAATGCAAAAAGCATGAACAAATTAAAAAAACTGAATATGAAAATGAATTCAACCAATGAATATAAACTTTTTGTAAACAAAACAGTAGAATGGTTAAATTTCAATAAGCTGAATATAAAGTTACAAAATCTTAAAATATTTATTAGGAACACAATTTTTTAAAGCACTTGCATATCAATTGAAACAAAATATAAAAATTAATGTCCTTTAAGCTTAAAAAACTTATAATTTTTCGTCGCGTGCATCCTTTTATGTTGCCTCCATTTTCCTCTGAGTTTCCTCCCGTTCTTCAACACACATGGCACTTAAGATGTGCATTTCTATACAGAGGTGTACTTGTTTGTGTGGGTGAGTTTGTTGGAAAACTTTTGTGCATTCAACTGCAAGGCCGGTGCATTTTCAGACCACCACACTCACCCACCCCAACACTTTTTTAATAAAAAGCCAAACAACGAGCAAACTACGTTCGATGCCTGGCGAATTATCCAAAAAGTTTGATGACGCGGAAATGCCTTTCGACAATAAAACAAAAACAAAAAAGAAAAGGAAAGAAAAGAAAAACACCAACTTCAATGCAACTGCTGCGTTTATTCGTTTATTCGTGCATATGTGAAGCGAACTCAGGCAGAATGCTTATGGAATCGAGAATTGAGTAGGGGAATAACGAAATCGTCATTTGAAATTCGAATGGGGGCGCTGAGGACCATAATAGTAACATACCCTCTTAAAGACACGATAGGAAATAATTATGGAGTGGTTTTAAAGGGCCAAATCAAGATAAAATAGTACCATAAAAGATTTGTTTTAAATTGAAAATAAATATTGAAATCTTTATATTTACAGTATAACATATGATTTATGTTTACTTTAAAATAAATCGTTCCTGTACTTTTTTTGTAATTTAGATGTATCGATTCTCAAATGATTGGATGGGGCTTTTTTAATTAAAAAATTTTATATATTTTATTTATATTTTCTTATTTAAAAATAAGGCAAATATTCTTTTAAATTTATTGTGCTATTTAATTTAGCGTAGCTATCTCGCAATATATTTATAAAATATAAATATCAAATATTTTAATCAAACTGATTAATTGAAATCAATGGAGTCTTTAGAATCCTGTTTGATTAGCAAGCTTTTCACGGGATTTACAAGCACGGCTGTAAACAGGTTCATTATGTGAAACGCATACATCTAGAATCCTCTTTAAACCATCGAACCAAGCCAACAACTCCATTAAATATAATTTATCGGCCACTTAAATTTCATGTTCAAACTCAAATTAGCATGCATGTTGATTATACTTGCCCGCATGTGCATGGAAATCCATTGAGGGCGCAAAGGGAAAAACTAAAAGCAAGTTGAGTGAGTAAATTGTAAATAGCACTCTACACTGCACAACACGATGGCGGTTTTATCCGCTCCTTTTTTCATTTTCATTTTTTTTTTGGTGCTTTTGTTTTCATTGCGCTTGGAATTGGTTGGTTAATTTTTATGCTCGTTATGGAATTGGTTTTTGCATGCATTTTACCTTTTTAATTGCTAATTGCATGTATGCGAATGGATGTGTGTGTTTGTGTATTTACTTATGCCGCAGCGAATACAGTACAACTTCACTAAATCATACTTACCAAATTTTTACTACTACTATATGTAGTTATACTGTTTTTGGCATGACCTAATTGTTGTATTTACCCTATTTATTTAGCATTTGGCATGGCAAAAGCATATTTGTTAAAAAAAAAGTCACTCACATGTGTGTTTTATTTGCATTTTTTTTACTATTTCCTAGGATCAGGAGGGTCGCAAGGTCATTCCCGAGGAGACGGAGTTGCACGCCTCGAAGACCACCGTCAATATGGGGGAGGAGAAGGCGGAACCACCGGCACAGCAGCAACAACAAGCAAATGGAAATGGGAATGGGAAAAGTCCGCCACAGCAGCTGGTTGACGAAACGTCCGACGCTACTTGATGGACTGCCAACCCAATTCTCTGACCTGCCACACGTGGCGTATGAGTGATATTAATAAACCAAAATGCGAAAGGAGAAAGAGAAACATAAATTTGATAAACGAAACCTATTGTTTAGTTGTACATGTGTGTGTTATGTTATATAAATGTATATGTCTATGTATAAATTATGCAAAAACTGAAAAACTGAATAAACAAAAAAAATATATCAAAACTGGTAATTGTTTTCCCATTCAAATTGAATCAAGCCTTTTCATGTTTCGCTGGAATTTTCCACTTTATTTTGCTGATTGGCTTAAAAATTAAATTGTAATTGCCCAAAACGCCAAGTGTTTTGCCATAGGTTAAGTTGCTATTATTATTATTTCATTTTCATTACAATACTTTCATTTGCTTTGCTCTCATTGTGTCTGTGTTTTTCTCCTTAGGCTAAGGCTTTAATTTTATATTATTTGTTTTCCGTTTGTGTTTTTTTCGTTTTGGTTTGCCTCAGTTTATCGTTATTAATTACTTAATATAGCGTTTTAATTACAATCTCTTTTTTCTTTGCATACCAAATTGCACGAAAATCTATTGATGCAAAAAATGGATGCATCAAGTCTCAATTTATTTCACTTATTTGCCTTATGTTTTTTTTTTCTGGTTTGTTTTCATTTGATTTAAATCGCAGCGGAGCTCAACTTTGGGCCGACCTCTTTTGCAATTCGATCAGCATTAATGTTTACATTTCAACAGCAATATGCTAAATGTGGCCAGCACCCGGACACACACACACCACACATTCATTTATGGAAATGATTTCAAAATAAATATTATTTATGCACAAAAAACATATTAACTTTTGTGGCTACAATTTTAATTTATGCTAATTATTTTTCACTAACAACTTTCGACTGCGGTCGAACATTCGGGGCCAGGAGCAGCAATAATCTCTGATATCTGCCCTGACCATATTCAATTTAAATCACCCTCCCATTCGCAGCTCAATTTATTGGTAAGGCAAAATTAATTAAAACTAAACTAAACAGAATTTCCTGAAATTAGTTGATATAATTCCAATATTTGCGACACATTCAGGAGAAAATTGATTTCATGGTGACCGAAAACGACGCACAATAGAATTCTGTTTTCGCTTTATTATTATTTAACTAATTGCAAACATTTGCAAATGAAAACGCGGTGAAAACCATGCTTTATTAAATGACATCAAATTGTATTTTCTGTTTCTCATTAGAGTGTCATATTTTCGGACTGGCAAACATAATTAGTTCGACTCTCTTTAACGTTGAGGGAAAAGTTTTGAATTTAACAAGGACAACTCTAAATAATTTAAATTACAGAGAATATTTTCTGCTCTTGGCTGGCCAAATCATTTAATCTCTTTGAAATGTCTATATGCAAATGCTAACCTATCAAGTTAACTTTTAAACCGGACATTTGCATAACAAGTATATGGAGATTTTATGGCCACAATTAGCACAGGCAATCTGCCATATCTGCTCCTTCAGAGCAAACATAAAACAATTCCACATGAGAAATCTAACATACATGTTGGTTTTCTCGGACAAATGTTCAAAATTCATACAATAAACATAGGCTAAAGTAGGTTTAATGCCAGCACATAAAGCATTTACATAATTCTAAATGATCTTCCTTCCTTTCTTTGGTGCATTTTGTAATCCAACACTTTCCTTTCTGTGTCAGTGTGCTTGTGTGTGCTTAGCCTAAATAAACCTTGATAAACAAGTATGCTAAGCCTATTTATGCCAGAAATACATGTATTAATCATACATACATTTTTGTGTTTTAGCATGAGCCGGAATCATAATCAATAAAGTTAATTCACACACGTCTTTAGTTTATTATTATCGATTACTGTTCAATATTTGGAATATTCAACGAGTAGCATCAAAGATAATTACACAATCACCCGAACCCAACCCAATATTTGTTCTGCTCAACCCACTCCACTCTCACTCCTGTTTGTGTGGGGTGAATTTGACTAACCATCCGCCGCTGCCGTTATTATCCAAGTCTCACTGTATCAACGGCGAGTGCTGTGAGTTCTCGCTAAAGTCCACCGTGTAGTACATGTCATTCTCGAGATTCATGGCCAGGTGCCGCTGAAAAGGTCGCTCCTGCAGCTGGCCACCCAGCGTGGTCTGCGTTTGCGTCTGCGGCTGTCCTGGCAAATGCCGTGTGCCCAGCTGCCCCCCTGCCCCGCCTCCGGCTGCCAAGCCCCTCGGTCCACCCGCGGGCGCCACATTATTGGCACCGCTTGCTGCGGCGGTGGCACTTGCCCCCTTGCCACTCAGCCAGTGCTTGTTCAGCTTGCCCTGCATTTTCGGCCGGCGACTGAAGCCCAGAATGGGTATAAACGAGGTGGAACGTGTCGAGAATTTCCGATACGTCTGATTGACCTTGCAGTGGCAAATGGTGACCTGCAACGGAGGGAAATGTGCACGAGGGATTAGGTAAATGGTTATGGATTGGCTTGTAATGGTCGGGGAAGAGTCGTGGTTGCCAAAAAAAAATGTTATTTGCTAGAAAGCTCTATACTAAAGTCCAGCTAACTATAATCTATAAGTAAACTACAAAAACCCATTAAGTTTGGCATCTTGAATACTCTTGCAGTTGCACCGAAAATTGATGACAGCGTGCATTGCATCTTTGTATAATATATCTATAGATGATATACAATTTTTAACCAATTTAGCCTAATGTTTCTATGGCAGCTATAAGATAAAAAATCCATTTATAAACAGACATATAAAAGTCCCTAGTTTTTAAACTTTGAACTGAAGATAAACTCTTTTAGTGATGCTGATTAAGAATATATATACTTGATAGGAAAATGTCTTCTTTACTGCCTTACTAACTTCTGACCAATACTAATAATTAAGGCCTGAGTTCAGATCAATTCTAACCTTATCCACTTATTTATTACCAGTTAAAATACGGATTAGGCTGCAGAAAATAAAATAGTTATGCTGAGATTCAAAAGTTAAAAGATAACCAAACTTTGCTCACTAAATAACCCAAATTAAACTTTGGACATTAACCTGTCCAATACAGGACTTTATAAGCTAGCAATATTGTGGCAAGGGAGCCATACTGAATCGCTCTCGGCTTCCAATAAATTGGCATGGACTCGGCTCTCCACTCGAAGGAGCACACATTGTGAACGGACACCAATTGTATAAATTTGCATCTACTTTAAGTCCCGGGTCCAGGCGATTGGGTAACTTTTGGTTAAAGCCTCCGACTGCAGCTCGAACCATTTTGCCGACATCGAAATGAATATGCAATGCCATTTCGCGCACTTTGCATAACCGCAGAGTACAATTTCCCCCGCTCGGTCATGGGAACTCTGGGATTTTCGGGGGAGGGAAGGATCGGGAACTTACCACAACGGCAACGATGAAAATGGCGGCTGCCAGGACTCCGGCCGCAAAATATGCATTATGCAATTCAATGGGACTCTTAAGCACAACCGATGAACCGAAAGTTTTGTCATTAAAATTTCTAGCGTTCGCATCGTCCACAATAAATTCGCTGGAACTAACGACCGTCTCCACCACAAACTCATCTGCGAAAAGGCCGGAAAAGAAACAGGCGAAAAAAGTTAGATAGCCACCGAGGGAAACATATTTTCAGCTGGCCACGCTGATGGCCCTAATCAAGTTAATGACTTTGGGGCATAGGAACTGGGCAAACTCACCTTCGCACATGGTGCCCGTGTATCCGGGTCGACAGGCGCAGTAGAAGCTATCGCCGCTGGACCAGCAAGTGCCGCCGTGGGTGCAGGGATTCACGCTGCATTGCTGGAAGTACTGAAAGTTATCAACGCGTTGGTGGTGGATAGAGTGGTGAAGGGGGTGGGGAATCCCCCATAAAATTAGGAGAAAGATGAACTCACAGAATACAGATCTTCTAAAGCTAAGATTGCTTGTTATTATTTATTCAGGTTTTTACTTTCCTTTTATTTTAACCCACAATTTTCTTTATTCCTAAAAATGGTTCTCTATATATAAAATAAGTATTATCCAAAAACAATGGTTTCTTATTCAGTATAAGAGTGTTTCCTTAATTATTGAACTCAATAAAAATGAATATCTAAGTTTAATTTTTTTGCTACTAAATTAGCCGAAAACTTGCTTTACACATTCAATTAAAAAATTTAAATTAAATAGTATGTATCGAATAAGGTTTTGTACTTTTTTTCTTTGTTTTAAATTCAAACTACTAATAGTCATCAGACAATGATAATTACAGTTTCTATTTTAATTTAATTTTAAATAAAAATTTTACAGTAACATATTTTTATTGGGGTCTTGAATGTTATTGGGAAAATGCTACTGTATTTACTAGTTCCCACATTTTTGGCTACTTATTTGCTATGTGTATCAGTGCATAGACATCAGTAATATTTATAAAACCAAAACATTTTAAAAGGTCTTTGAGTTCCCAAAGAATGGAAACAGTCTTTAAATTTATTATAGCATACTTTTGTGCTTCGCAAAAAGAACAAATTTTGGTATTATATCTGTGCCCTCCCAAAAACTGGTCTTATCTAACCACACCCAACTAACAATTAGAATGGAGGAGCTGCCCCATTTCTCCACTTTTGGGGCGGTGTGTGTGCCTGGCATGTAGAATGTAATTAATTTTGCTGCCTTCCCCAACAGGAGCCACGAGCCACTGGCAGCCGCAATTTCCAGCCACAATTTCCTTCTATGCCCCTGCGCGCCCCATATAATGACAGTGCGCTGCGTATACTTGGGTCCTCGGAGCAGTCGCGGTTAGTCAGCGTGTCCATCATTTTCACAAAGCTTTAATTATGGCGCCTTGACGCTTAATTTATGTTCATTTTGTTAAGTTTTATTTTAGCACCACAAATTATCAAGTCCATTGAGCGTTTATTAAATTCTTTTTGAGTGAGTTCAGCCCCCTGCCAGCGAGGCTAACTCAATTTATGAACCAAGTTTGACTAAATAAAAATTGATTTGCAATGCTAAACAGGCGCACAACTTCTACACGGAATATCAATTTCAAATGTGAGGCCAGCATGGACTATTCATTTGAGGCCGACAAGCCGAAGTCGTAAATCAGTTTAAAAATGCACAGCGATTGTGTATGCAGTTGGTTAGGAAAATTGGCTACAATTATGCCACTGCGAACAATCTGTGGCTAAATGCTGGAAATTTTAGCAACTGCCAAAGGAATCCGAAACCAAAAGCAACCGAAAACAGGAACAAAGGCATAACTGCATAAATCATGACTTACCGTTCGTGGCATTTGATTACAATCCGGTCCGTTGCGACCTCCTGGGCATTCGCAGCTGAAATCATTTCCATGATCAATACAGCGATGTCCTTCGGGGCAAGGCTTGTTGGCGCAGAAATCAACCTAGAGAGCACAACAGAAAAACGGGCACAAATCAAAGCATATTGTGGCAGCAGAGAGTCGGAATAGAAGCGGGCCAGAGCTGAAACTTCATTACGTATTCAAAAATGTATTTTCCCAGCATTCGTATCCGAAGGATACACTCCCTTTCCCTCACACACACACACACACGTGCAATCCCATTTCCTAAATGCCTGTGTGTGTGTGCGGCGGAGGCGAGTGTATCCTTCGCGATTGTCGGCCTGAGCAAATTAAATCAATATCCATTCAGGACCCACAGACAACTGCCGGCTGGCTGGAGTCCTTCCACTTTCTCATCGGGGAATTGTCGCGGGATTTGTTTTCAATACAAAATATTGATTATTCTGGGGAGCGAGAATCAACTAATGGGCACTCTTGGGGTTCGATTTTCATTGCAGATTTTCAAGTCATGTTTGCTAACTTCTTGGGTTGCTTCGTTCATGTTAAGTGTTTTTCTTATACATCAGTTTGCCAATATAAGAGCTATGTGGTCAAAATTGTTTTATTTAAAATTTTTTTAATCTCTCTTCTTTCGAAAATATTAGAATTTTAAGTCTGTTAAAATTTGTATGCCCCTGGTAGTAAGAACAAAAAAAGCGACAAGAATAAATCCAAATTGATAAGAGAATTCTGACGATTGGAGAATACAAACCAAATCTGTGCAGAATCATGTTTAGTACATTTTAACATTCGATTCGATTGGTTGCAATCATTTTAAATTCTTAAGTAAAAAACTTTTGTATGTTATTGTTCAGTATGTTTTTAAAGTTATCTTCGAGTTTCTAAGATACCATCTTAATTATTTTTAATAATTATAACTACTCGAATTGAATTTTAAGAATATACTGCGCAGGGTCTGTTTGTTGAAAAAGTCTAAAGAAAATGTTAATATTGCGGTCTTTACTGGCGCGGACTTGCAACGATAATTGTCAGATTCTCACCGCGAAAAAGGACTTCTCATAAAAATAGAGGGACTCCTAAGTAGAGAAGCAGAAGTCAAAATATAAGCCAATTATGGTATAAGTTTTATGTAAATAAAGATTTATTTCTGTATTTATACCATTTCGACGGTTTAAGTAATTTTTAAAATTATTCTGCACTACAAATTATAACACAAATTAAAAATTGTACAAAAAATTAAATGGTTTATCCTATTTCACAATATATTAAACATTTTATTATAGCTGCAAGGGTGTATAAGCTTCTGCTTTAAAGTATGTAAAGGCAAGGTAGAACTTTCCGTACTATTATTTCCATTTCTTTCTTTATTTTTGTAAAGTATTTCCATCTTCGGTCTGGGGAAAAGTGTGAGACCTTTTTATATTTATTTGGCATTGTTCACTCACCTTAATTTGGCAACGGTTGCCGCTGTATCCTTTTGTGCAGCGACACTCGTAGCTGCCAATGTGATCGATGCACTCGCCGCCATTCTGACACGGATTCGATTCGCATTCATTATACTCGAAGTTGCACAGCTCGCCGGCGAATCCTGCGAGACAGGAATCGAAAAGGGAGAGAAAGGGGGGGAAGAGTTCAAAAGGTTGTGGGTAATGTAAATGTGCAAGGTAAATGAAATGGAAATTTCAATGGGAAATGGGAAATGCTTTGGCTGGGCGACAGACTGAGACGGAGACGCGCTGTCTCGACTTCCCGGAATTGCCCTTGTCTCTGTCTCAGCGATTTTTTATACATTTACTTTCATTGTGATTGAGTGCGATTTATGCAAATTGTGTTTGTGCCAATGAAATAATTTATGAGCTAGCTCCGATGTAGATATTTGATTTGCGCAAATTTCAATTCAATCGCAAAAACGAAATTTGATTGCCTTAAAGAATGTGGATTTTTTGTGTGCTCGATTAAATGTAACTTTAGAAAGGTAAAATGCACGGAAACCCATGTAGACAAAAGGAAATTGCAATGGAATAATAAACATTTGCACTTTGTAAAGAGTAGATTAAATTATATAATTTTTCTGTTTAATAATTCTTACTTTTTATCTTAAAAGCTTTATTTATACATTAAATTTCCTTCAAATACAATAAACAATTGAAAATTTAATAGAAATACCAATACCAAGCTTAATAAACATCCAATATATAATAGATTCGGCCAAAGCCAACAATCGTTGTGTGAAATTTCCACGATGATAACTCAGAAAATATTGGTATTATGGGAGCGATTTTCGCCAGCGAATCAACAAAAGAATGAAGGCAATTTGCGTTTATTTGGCTGGAATTGTTGGCCCCATTTACTCACCTGGCTGGCAAAAGCATCGGAACCCGTCCTCCTGGTCCACGCAAATACCATGAACACACGGCGAGGACTCGCATTCATTCAGACTGTGCTGGCAGAGAGGTCCTGTGAACCCGGGCGAACAATCACAGCTGCAGGGGCGGCGAAAAGGGGGGGTTAATACGGTCGGGAGTTAAACAACAAACAAAAAAGGAGAAATGAAGGAATTTTTGAACATGCGACAAAAGTCAACATTTATGAGCAAACACAGACGGCAAACGGCTAGACAAAACCGCAAAACAATGGCCAGGATAATTGAATGAAAGCTGCTGTTGCTGCTCCTCCAACTGCATGTGTGCTCTGCACTTAAACTGAATATGATTGCTACATTTTAGAAATTCACTCAGGGAAAAGTGTTGTCTTTAGGTAAAAAAAAACTTTCGTAGTTCTAGAAATGTGTTGTTTTCTAGAATTTAGGTGATTCAGAAAAATATTTCTTTCGAATTGGTTACTTAGTCTTGAACATGCTAATAGTTATAGAATAGCCTCTTTTTTTATTATACTTGACTATTCAGTAACTCTTTTCTAATTTTTATTCAGTTTAAATTTAATATTGTTGATAAATATTTAAGGCAAGAAAGCCGAATTATAAACATTATTTTACTATTTAGTATCTTTTTTCAATCTGGCAATTTGTTCGGGTACTTTTGAAGCCCATAATGTTTGTGATCGACACAGTTACTCCCTATTTTTCAAAGTGTCTCTAAGCAAACGTATGCTCCTCTTTCTGCCATTGCGGTCCTTCTTTTGTTTTCATCTTTTGTTTGGCTTCGACTCACCGAAAATGCGTGGAGTTGCCCACACAGCTGCCGCCGTTCATGCACTCGGCGGGATTGCAGGGATCCGACTCGTATTGACAGTTCTTGCCCGCATATCCTGCGAAGACAAAGAGGGAGGATATTAATGGCGTTATCGCTGGACGGCACTAATGAGGCACTAGGCTAATGACCCTACCGTACGGACAGAGGCACTGGTAGGAGTTGCCCTCGTGACCCTGCGAGAGGTCCACGCAGATGCCATTGTTGGTGCAAGGACTCGGGTTGCAGGCGTCGATCTCCTCGCAATGGGGTCCTGCGAAGCCGCTGCAGCACTGGCACTCGTACTCCTCCATTCCCGAATTCGAGTAGCACACTCCCTTGCCGGAACAATCGGCGTTCTCGCCGCAATTGTCGGTTTTGGTGGTCACCTTCAGGCGCACACACTGCGCTCCCCACAGTTCGGACACCACTGTGGGGGCAGGACGAAAAACAAAGGCAAGGGGTTTCATATTAATTAAGGCTACACGAAGGCTGCGAGGCAAGGATTCGCAAAAAACAATTTTTTAATAGGCCAAACGGGAACCACAAACAGGGGAAAAATTGCTCCCCCAAGGCGGCATCCTCTGACAGGAGATGGAAATGATACCGCATAGATGAAGATGGAATACCCTAGCTGGGAAACTGAGCAGCCTATCACAATATACTGATAGCTCTTCGGGGAACATTTTAGTTTAATATTCAACAAGATGATATTTTCTGAGCCCAGGCACAGTATTGCTTGAGCTTGTGAATTTATCATTTCATATCTTTGTAGATAAGTTTATGAATTTAAAATTTAATGATGTGATCTTTGTATTATTTTTTTCTAACAGTAACCTGTTTAAGCTAGTAGTGGTTTTACTGACTAACAAAATGTGTTATTTTAAAGAACTATGAAACATTTATGTAAAATCATTCAATTCAGAAAAGCTCAACTAATTTAATATATTAATATAAAATTATATTAATTTATTTTATATTTTTGTGTGACATTTTTTCACAAGGAACTTAGATTGATTTTTAAAACAGAAAGGTCTCAATGGTTTTTAAAGTTGAATGTTTTAAAAATATATTTTTTTAGCATCAAGTAGCTAAAGCCTGCTTTAACTTGGATGTACCAATGAGCACTGAGCAGTGAGATCTAATTAAGAACCCTCTTCATTGACCATCTAACTGAATTTCCCGAGCCCGAAGCCACACCGGCCACAAAGTTAGTACATGCCGCAGGCGGTGAGAGTGGCGGGCGTTCGTCTACTCACCAATTAGCAGGTTAACTCCCTCGGTGAGGTCCTTATCGTACAGTGTAACCAGCTTCCTGCCATCGACCACCAGCGGCGTGATATCCAACAGGACGCCCTCGGTGACGTCGCAGTGTTCGTGGCCGGAACGAGTTACCTGGTACACCTGTGTGGCATGTACCGCGCTGCTCGTCGACGTTTATTGGGCCAGAATCCAGGTGAGAATGAAACGGGGAAAAATAGATATAAATATATATATGCAGAGGAGGGGGAGGCCGCCAAGTTAAATGGCTGCTTTTTGCTTGCTTAAGTTATAAATATGACCGAAGACGTCAGCAAAAGGAACTTAGTCTATATTCCTTGTATTTTGCTTGTATATGTGCTTAATTAATTGAAATTTATTTATAAGCAGTTGCGCTCTCGGTTGCCTTGCTCTAGCGGAAATTAAATAGCACAAAAACGGAAATGAAATTAGTCGAGCCTGGCTGCCTGCCTCGGAAAAAGGGTTTATTCTGGAAATTCTCTGGCCCGAGGATTTCCTTGTAATTTCACTGTTGCCAAGCGGATATTGCGGTTATTTTTTGCGGAGTTCACTATATGGCTAGATATTAATGAACTGCAAATTAGGAACCTTAGGGAGTGAAGGCACTTAAGGATAAAAAGTTACTAGATTTGTCTAAAAAACCAACTTTTATTTATCTAAAATATGATATAAATTGTTCGTCAAATTGTATTATTTCCTTCCGTCTCTCTGTTTCTAATACCTATGAAATATACTAATAAAATAGAGTTCAAATGTTTTTATTCTAAGTTAAATGATGTGTTTTCACCAGTGAATTTCTTTAAGAAAAGCCATAATTTAGTGAAGATTTAAAAAAGTTGGAGCCATGTTCCCACTTTTGTTTATCTAAAGCCATCTTATTCAACTTTGTTCTCCCACGCAAAAGCATAGACAGAAACGTAGGGAGACCCCTGAAATAGTATCCAAGTTTGCAATTTTTCAACAACACGTAGTCGAGTCGGCGGAGTGAAAAAAATGGAAAACTTGTTAGAAAACTGCGAGACCGGAAAGTTTTCACTACCTCGAGCTTTGCCAATCTATTTGCTACCCACTCGCTTTTCCTTGGCTTCGCCGTCACATTATTATTTGTTGCTATTGCATTTGTTAACTTAGCTGGTACACACACACACACACAAACCCATACACACATATTAAATCGATAATAAAAACTTTTTTGACATCTCATTTTCATAGTTGGCGGGAACTTTTCTCTGCGGACCCTGCGCTCAATTGTACGCTATACTTCGCATCACTTTCACTCCTCAACTAACTCGATTGTTTGCGGTCTTATTTTGCCCCCAAGGAAAGTTACGAAATCGGAACTTATGCCAGGCATTTCGAGTTGCCAGTGCCGCGGGGCTGAATAAGAGGGAAAAAAGTATAAGGAAAAGCGGAAAATTGCCAACGCGGTCGCGTTTGATGTCTGCCCCAAAAGTTCGACAAATGAATTTTAATTTTTCTTGCGCTTCTTTTTCGGGGTGAAAAACTTTCTGATGGGTGGCGGCGGCATCTATCAAGCGATAAGATAAGAACCAGCCACCGAGCTAAATTAAAAAGAACAAAAATGTGCGCAGCAGCCGGGGAAAAAATGATAGCAAAAACCGAGAGAAACGTGATAATTGCCATGGCAAAAAGGGTCAGCCAGCTGTGGTGTGTGTACGTCCAGCCCAATGACAAATGGTCAACAACTAGGACTACACATTAAAAAAAATATCTAACTTAAATTTAGCATTAATTGGTTCATTCTCTTACTGTGATTAAGTGGTCTAAATTTAGTTGAAAAAGAAACCAACACACCATATTGAATCATAAAGCTTTAGTAATGTATTATATTATTTGTAAGTAAGGAAATGCCATGTAAAATCGGCTTAAAAATTCATACATGGCTCGATAAAAAAGCATTTTCAGTATTATAAATATTTTACACCTTGGCAAATGATGAAAAACATTTAAGTTAACATATTAATACTTTTAAGAGGGGATTTTTCCCTGTGCTCGGACAACTGTGTGGCATCGCATTTATATGCGCAGTTTGTAAGGGGATTTTTGTGCCGCATTATAAAATAAACAAAACCGAAATAAAAATTTGCGAACAGAAATAAAGGAGAGGGCCAGAAAAGAGAGTTAGAGAGCAGTAAGAGAAAACAATTTAATAAACTGTAAAAGGGCCATGATAATGGGAAAACGTGTCTGGGACCAGTAACTATTCCCCCTGACTTCTTTTCCCGAGCAGACGTGCTGAAGAAAAAATCAATAAAGGTCCTTAATGGACGTTATTATATAATAAGCCCCCAAACAAACACGTTTCAGTGCGCATTAAAGCGCTTAACTGAAAATAAAAACAAAAAATAGCTCAAGCCACACCCTCAACCTGCCAACTAGGTGTAAAAATAAAGGAGTGATTTTATATTTCGTTCTGGGCGAGTTTAGGGGCTTCCCCCATTTTTCTATGGAGCTCAGGTGTCTGGTGAAAGGGTCGCTACATGATGAGCTCAATGATGAGGCAGCAGTTGCTGCTGAAAGTGTTGCTGTTGCTGTTGCTGCCGTGATGCGGATGTTGCTGCCGTGCTGTTGCTGCTGCTACTGCTGCTGCTGCTGTTGATGATGTTGCTGATGGCACATAATGACAGTTTTTCCCGGGACCCCAAGTCACTAGCTTTGATCAACTACATACATCACTGCCAGCCGTCAGGTTAACTTTGTTTTGCAGCCAACGGTTTCAACAAGTAATGGCAGCAAAAAATGGGGATTTTGTAATTGGATCCCTTATCTAAGGTAAATTGATACTTTTGGTGTTTGAAGCAAAAGAACAGAAAACTAGAGGTGTCATGGTTATCTTGCAAAAATTTACGTCATTACTTGTTCTTAGTGCCATTATTTGATTAGAATAATAGTAACTAAGTTGCATTATGGGAAAACGTTTAATAACTCACTTAAAATTCTATCTAAAAGATTGGATTAGAATTTTTAAAAAAGTTGTTTGGTTTACCCTTATTTATTGTTGAATTTTAAGTTTAACAAAAGCGTTAAGTATAATTTAAACAACAGTTTATTTATTTTAGCTTCAAATAAAAAATCTGTGATCAATCATGGAAGTGGGGATGAATATTTTTCAGCATTTAAAAACCTGTCACTGTCAAAAGGATCAAACAAAAAGTTTTGTGAGCACAGCTGTGAAAAACAGCGACACAATTGTATTTTAAATTGTTCTCATTTGTTTGTTAATTAAAACTGAAGCTCTGAAAAGTGATTTGTTTTATTGTTAATGTGTTATTTATACATTTATTTCGCTCTTTTCATAGTCTATATTTGTTCAGGGGACTTATTAATTCTAGTGTCCAATTAAATTTGAATGACTACAAATATTCTATCGGTTCATGAAAAATACAAACCATGTTCAACATTTGATGGACATTTTCTTTAATGCTAATTTCCTTGCCACTTACCTGCTTGTGTTGTTGGGCTCATGCGATGGATTTAACATGGCATCGTTGATTTCCACAATTAAAATGTCACCAGATTGGATTTCCGCCTCACCACGCCAGGTTAAAACATTTGGTATGCAGTGCTCATCCGGTTTACAGTGTTCCGTGGTCTGAGGAAAAACAGATTGAGAGTGGAAATTGTTTATTAAACTCATCGCAGGAGAGGCCTAAAAGGTTTGTCTGTCTGGTGCGGTTTGACAGCCGGACAAAACTTAATTATTTAGCAAGTTTTCTAATTTCACTTTTATAACATTGTCTACGGTCTGGCGATAGCCGTCCCATTTAAGCCAGTTTAGTTCTGTGGCAGAAACAAATTTACATAAGTAGTAACCCGAACCTAATAAACTTCCAGCTAAAAGGTTCATTTGGGGTGGATATTAGCAAAGTTTCTAACATATGCCCAGATCCACTTGATGTTGCCAAATTTTTATTAATTTGGGTTAAGCCACATACATAAGCCGTCAGTTAGGCACATCACAATCGGTGTACAAATAAAAAAATAATCCACAAGCAACAAAAATGGCCTTTGCGGTTATCCCTGTCCTTTTTTTTTTGTATGCTATGTTTCTATGTCCAGCAATTTTAGCATATTTTTGCGCAATTTGAAGAGGTTTAGTTTGCCTGTCGCTTTTTTATGCCGCTTTTGTACGGTTCGGAGGGGATTTGTCGGAGCTCCAAATTTATGGCATTTTAATGGCCGGTCTCTACGCACATAAAAATCTACATTGTACGTTGGTTAGCTCGAAAAAAGCTGCATATTTACATCTAAAAGGGAATGTTTCCCCAAATGGGAAATGTCCAAGTTTTGGGTCACATAGAATTTCATGCGTGTTTTGTGGTCAGCTCTTTTTTTTATGAACACCGCAATTGGTAACGGCATAAATTTCCATTTTTATTTGTCGTATATGTTTAAAAGTTTCTGTTTGTTGAAATTAAAACCACAAATATATAGAATTTGTCACAAAATTCACGCTTGGAGTGACTTAAATGATTTGTAGTCTAGCTTTTAAAACTCAGAGACAAATTGTTTCAAGTTTTAAATCCATTTTAAATTATTTAGAGTGCCTTCAAAACAATGCACTTCACCATTAACATAATAGCCTCACAGAAAAAACTAAAAAACTTTCAACTAGGCTTAAATGACTTAAAAAGTAGCTAAATAAAAAGCGAAAGAGAGGAGAAAAGGACGAAGACGAGTCCCAAAACAACAAACGGCAGAATAAACAAATTCAGTTGAGAAATGTTTTCACTGACCTCCTCAGAAAAAAAATGAGAAAACACAGAACATTGAGGAAATGCCTTCACCTTTTGTGCAAAAATTGTTTTCTTTAATTGTTTTCTTTTTTTCTGAACCTGGTCTCTGGGAAAATGGACCTCGAGTTGCCCAAGGAAGTCAGCATTAATTTTATGCAAGGTAAACATTATGCCAATGCTTAATGTATATGTATTTTCCTTTCAGGTGGCCCAGAGTTTGCATAATGCTGCAGTGCTTCTTAATTAAATTCATGGCCGAGCTGCCATTGGACATTTGCGGACCAAAAAGTAAACAGGAAATCAATTTCACTGCCTTCTTTGGCCGCTCCATTTTTCTCACCAACAAAGGAAACGAATCTCGACCAAACAGCCTTCAAATGGCCATCAATTTTAATGGTATTTCGGTTGGAAACACACAGAAAGCAGTTGAATAGACAGCCTGACCAAATGTTAATTAAACATTCGGTGCTCAGTCATTTAGTCAAAGGTTCTGCTCTAAAAACACATACACATAACTCCAGCTGCCGATGAAAAGGGTGAACATTTTCTACGAAATGAATTTAAATATTTGCCGAAGGGGCAGCAGCTGTGATTTGGCCAGGCAAATGGCTTGATTTACGTCAATATAAACAGGACATGAAAGGGATATGTGCAGAACGGAAAACTGACTCCAAACTGAAGCCCAGACCCAGAATGAATTTGCCAGATGAGCTTCGGTCGGAGTCCCTTGTCTAGTTTATTCGTGATTTAACAACAAATACGATTTAATAAAGAAATGGATAACCCTTTTCTCAACTGGGCGGACAGTGCGTTTCGAATATGGTAAAGCATTAAAAGGAACACACATTGAATATTGTATTAAATTATTATGAATTATTATTATTACTTTTATTAAGTAATTTAAGCGTAAAAAACACAAACTGCTTGTGTATCAAACTGTTTGTATTAAATTAATTTATACAACTATTTTACCATTTAAAATGGCATATGGAAATATTATTTAATTTAAATATTTACTCATAGTAAAAATATTTATTTATGGCTAGCACTTACACCTGTCTTCAATGAAGTCTACACATCCGAACCGGACTGTAAACATACCCTCAGGCTTTGTCCTTTTTTGCATAAGGACTAGGGTAGAACCTTCATGTATCCGGTCAACTTGTTTGGGGTCTTCAATCCCCTCTATTCCCTTCACACACATGCTGCTAAGGAAATGGCCAAATAAAATGACGATCAATAATTTCCTTTTGTTGGCCAACTTATCGGAGGATTAAATTTACAGGGTTCGTTTCGGTGAATCCTTTTCTGGCCGATGTCCTTTTCTTGTCCACTGAACTGTTTCCGTCTATGTTAACTCCAAAAGTGCTTGTGATTTATTTATGTGACTCCGGCCGACATTGATTTCTTTCGGTTGCCGAATTGTCTCAGCTCTAAAAGGTTTTCAATTAGCCGAGCAAACAGTTTTAACAAGTTTCTGTTGTTCGAAGGGAAATTGGATATCGAATGTCGGCTGTCGTTGGCAAAGTTCAAGAATTTTTGGGTTGCTTTCCGTGGCTGCTCTGTGAACTCAATCCCTAATCAATCTTTTCGAAGAACTTCAGCGGTTCATTAAGGATTCTCGTTTCCGTTTGGCTAATCCGTAGGTTCGTAGAACCCGAAAACTAAGCTTCCTCCATACTAATTAGCCAGCAGTCAGCAGGCGTATTATGTAAATGGAGTCCGTTAGTTAGACGCTCACCTCCCTTTTCTCTTTTCCCCCTCCCTTTAACTTTTCCCATTCTCTTAACCACCAGCTAATTGCTTAACCCGCTTACTCGAACAACACGCATACGCCGTGTGCTCCCATTCCATTCAGTTGTTAAGCTGTCTTTTCATTCGCATCCTATGTGTCCCTTTGTCTGCCTAATGATAAGAACTTAATAAGGCCTCAATTGTTTTGATAACAGGCGGAAAGACAAAGCCTTAAACGCACTACACCGAGAGAAATTCGGTAAAAAAAATGTATTAAATAATAACTTCAAATATATGCTAAGTCATTTTCTTTTTTGATGATTACACCCAACTGATTATACTCAACTTAACATTAAAAACCTAACATAAATATAAAATTTAGCATGCATTTTATATACTCTTAGGCATTAAAATAAATATAGTTTTTGAGAGGAATTGTCTTATTCACTAAATATATTTCTTGTATAATACCAAGCAAGTGATAAATTAATAATTTATTATAAGCTAAAATGTGTTAAAAATACTAATTTAACTTTCAAAGTATTAAATTGCTATTAAAGTGAAAACAAATATTACCAATGTTCAGTACGGAAAAACCAAGTCAAAATGTTTACTTAAAATAATCTATCATTCATTTCTTAATATCAAGTAAGTAATTGTGAACTAAATTCTCGAGCAAATAGTTTTCGAGTGAACTCACCACAATGGGAAGCAGAAGTTCGTGCGTTTCATTGCCTCGCCACAGATGCGAATCCTGCGGCACTCCCGGGATCTCGCATTCGAGCGAATTGATTTTCTCCTGCAGGCGACTCAGGATGCGCGGCCTGGCGATTGGCTTTGAGGCGGTCTTAGTGGGATTAGCCGCCGAAGGACGAGTCCTGGCGGTGGCCAGCAGAGTGGCCATCGTTGTGGTGCTCAATGTCGATGTCGATGGAGATGTCGATGATGGGGATTCCCCGGCAACTGGCGCTTTGTCACTGGACTTTGGCGGCGGTGTCAAGGCCTTGAGCAATAATTTGGCACGCCTAAGCTCCTTCTGGTATTTTCCAGCATTTGTTGTCGGACTGCCAGATGTTGTTGTTGATGTTGTTGTTGTTATTGTTTTTGTTGTTGTGGTAGGTGACTCTGTAGAAGTCGTAGTCAGTGTTATTGTAGTGGTGGTTCCAGTCGTTGTACTTGTGGTTGGGTTAAAAGTTTTCCCTTCTGGCATCACGTTCAAGTTTGCTGTGGCTCGAGTTGTATCCTCCGCTGACTTTATCGGACTGCCTTCAGCTTTGGTTGCCTTCATTAACTTGCGCTTATTGTGCAGCAACATTTCGTTGTACAGCTCCTTGCTGTTGTAGAACTTTGTGGTGGAGAACTCGGGATGCGAGGCGGGGGGATTCGGTGCATCGGCATCCGTTTGGAACTTGGTGTTGGCGAAGTCTATGTGCGGCATGGCCATCACATCGCTGGCCCGATGTTGCATGGGAAACTCGAAGCTTTTCTTCACCCTTCGATCGATAAAAGTGTTGCCCGGATGTTGCACAGTAGTTGTGGTAGTTATCGGCTTCATGGTCGTAGTGTCGTGCAGCTGGAATTTGCTCTCAATTTCCGTTATCAGATCATCTTGATCGGCCAGCAGTTTGCCCGTGAAATCAGCTGTGGTTCCTAGATTCGGTCTGCTTGTAGTGGGTTTTACTGTGCTGGTAGTCCCATACTTTTCCTGGTTTATTTTAATTCTCTCCCCCACTCCGTTAACCTCCTTATTGACCATCAACTCGATCTCATTGGGCATCAGATTCTGCTTGTATTCCTCGGCATTTTCGGGCTGTGTGAAAATGGTTCTCTGCTTGATCAACTCATCGTTGTCGTCTTGTATGATTGGCTGAAAATCCTCAAGTTTCAGTGGATATAGATCCACTATATTCAGTTTACTGGCCGTGGGCTGATGGGCCAGCATGGCGTCGTATCGGGCTCGCTCCTCCTCGTTCAGGTCGGCCAACGTTTCGGCTACTTGATATGAGGCAGCTGCCTGCATTTGAATTTGCAGCGGCGAAATAGTGGGCGAAACATCCTCCCCCTCCTCCTCATCTTGATCCTGATCCACGGCCTCTGGTTGTTCTGTGGTGGTTGTATCATCCACTGGCTTTTCGCTCAATTTAATGCGATGCAGTGCATCCTTGATGCCGCCTATTTCACCCAAATCGGCTGGCAGCATTTTTTGGGTGGTTGTCATTAGCCCGTCTTTTGGTGTTTCCCCATTTTCCTCGACCAAAGTTGTCGCCCGTGTTGTTGTTGTGCTGGTTGTGGCCGTGGTGGTGGGCGTGGCCGTTGAGGTTGACCCGCCCACAGCGGAAATTTCCCGCGATTCCTCCGTGGAAATTTTCAACTGCGTTCGGTTGCCTTTTGCCGTGAAGTCATTTGTTATGGTTTCACTAGTTGTTGCAGCCACCACCGCAATTACCAATGTAAAAATGCAGATTTTCCACATTTTTCTGACTTTGAAATTCCCTTTGGAAATTATACCAACGCTGGTAAAAATTCTTATTTTGATTTTCGCTGGATATTCCTATTTTTATAAATATCCGTTCATGGCGCTTGCAAATCTGTAAATAGAAAAAAATACATTTTATTAGGAAAATTTATTTTTGGTTTCCCTTTTATTTTTCGGCCACAACCATCAATTTACCAGAAAAAAAAACATGCTGGTCATATTTTATGTATAAATCCATTGCCAACTGACTTTCTGTTGTTTGGATTTTCTGGCAAATATATTTGCATTTAATCGCATTTATTTTTTCAGCGGGTTTCGCTTTACAACATTTGTTTGCTCGTTTGAAAATCTGATGGCACAAATAGAATTTATAATGCCTGGCAACATATTAATTAAAAGTCCATACAAAACCCCGCACCACCCATACATTATTTGCAGGAATTCCACACGCATTTCAGAATTTGCCAACAATAAACTGGTAAATACACTTGTTCAGCAAAATTGTGGCCCTCGAACAAGATTTTTCGCTCGATGAGTTGTGCGAAAGTATGCAACAAATTTGTGAACTCAACACTTTGGAAATATTTGGCAAATGCAGGGCGAATGTTTTTGTCAGCTAATCAAATGATTTTCATTATACGGGTCAGCCAATTCATAATTCAATGGTCAAATTGAACAAATGACAAAGTAAAATAACTTTTACATGCAATTGAATTTGATTGCCTGATAAAAGTAAGACTGCAAATATATAATTGACAAAGCATTTCAAGGGGCACTGGAGCCCGAAATCAGTTGGGAATTTCAAGGGGACCCGATTGATTTGCGGCCCACCGCGCTTAACCCACTCTTGCCCCTTCATTGGCCACTGCCACTGCCACTGCCTGTGGCAGCTGACAACTCACAGTTGATTGCGCCCAGTGGACTGGACGGGACACCCATTGAGCCAACTTGAGTGAACTCGAGCTGGACATACATTCATGACTGGCTCTGTACCCGGTCCTCCCTTTCGCACGCTTATCTCTGCAGTTTGTCAACGGAACAGAAGACGCAGCGTCGCCCCATAATTTACTTGGGTGCAGTGGGAAAAAATATGCCTACCAAGGGTAATTAAAAAAATCTTTAGGGATATTGTCAGGATTGCTGGAAATTTAATACAAAAATTGTGAAATTTTCAAGATTATATAAATGACCAGTTTGCTTGGGCTTAAAAGGATATAATACCTTCCGTTGAGAAAATTTCTATGACTACTGCTTTTTTAAGATTATTATTTATTCAGTCATATTATTAATTGACGTTATTATTATTCCTAAATTTGAAATTCTACCCCTTGAATTGGTGCTAAGTACTTATTTTAAATGTGTATTTTCGGCATGGTCTCGTCATCTTAAATTATGTAAAAAGCATTAAATTTCTTTTTAGCATCTCATGATATTATAATCTAAGTGTTTCTCCCAGTGCAGCCTCATGTGTACACGGGCATGAATGTTGAATCTAGTTCAACAGTCGTTCGTTGTGGTACTTTATGTGCGACAGATTTATCAGGAAAAGCCATAATCCTGAAGAAGGAAGCGCTGCAAAGGAGAGGGAAGTGGAGATTTCTTGAGCTATTTATAGGCACATTTTCCCAGATTAAACCAGTTTGTGCTCGCTCTGCGAAATGGTTTCATTTGACCAGTCCGAATGAGATGAGCCATCTTAGATTTTCTGTTTGAATTTGGCTTTGACCGTAAGGCAACTGAACTTCAACTAAAGCTTTAACTAAATTGGCCCGAGCAAGTGCTGTTAAGAGGGTAAAATTCATTAAACTTTGATAAATTGATAGCAATATGGTACTGATTTAAATCTTTCTTGAAATTGCACTTGACTTAAATCTTTTATAATTGAATGCATAGAAAAGAAGCAATCACAATATCAATCGATAATATCATCATTATTAATTGCAGTACATAACTACAAAGAAATTAAAGGAACCCGTATTAAGGTATTAAACCAATTATTTTTAATTACGAAAGGGAATCCTGAATTATTTATTTTTATAAATCCGCAAAAATTATCATGCAACCAGGTGCTTGAATATCTGTAATTAAATGTGCATCGTAAGGCTTTCTCAGGATTAAATGTAATAGCTTAAATAGCCGTATGAACAACTATTGAAGTATTTTTATCTCAACAAATGAGACCGTAAAAACACTCTGAAAAAGCCATAGAAAAATGGCATATATTTGAATGAAGCTATGAGATTTTGTCAATTTTATATAAACTATCAAGTAATGTGGCTACCATAAAAATCATTAGTTTATTTCACTCCCAGCCCCAAGGACTGCACTCGCATGTGATCCCATTCCGGGTTCGGTTTTGCTTATTTACGAGCTCCGATGGCTGGCAATAAATCAAACCTAGTCGCACACAGTGGCGTCGAAAAGTTGCCTCCTGCGGTGCATGTGTAATGCCGACTAAGTAGCTGTAAAATATATTGCAATTTGTTGCAGCTGCGCATCCTGCCCGCCCACAATTCGGCATGTCCTTGAGCGCCTCCCAGCGGGCATTCAATTAATTATTGTAATGACGAAATTAATTAAAACTCATCCAATTTGATGCTGCGGCTGAGGCCATATTGAAAAAATATTTATGTTCTGCGGTCTGTCAGGTAGGTCCAACTTACATCCAGCTCTCAAAATGGATGTCAATTCTGTGTTTAACAGGGGGAAACTTTTTATGGTTGGGTAAAAGTTAAGAGCATCAGTGACCTTTCCGGCACAAACAACTTAAGCACATTTCTTTGTTTAACTGGAAGCAGCAAGCAAAAACAAATCAAAATCCGCTTAGTTCTGACTCCTCTGTCCCTCTTATATTTTAAAGTCTACTTAAATTCAACTCTGTGGCAGGATCCGATAACTGAACCCAACTTTTCGCATCTCCAGGACCTCTTTATTCTCAGATTTTTCCTCAACTTTCAGCAGTTGAGTTGCACACAGTCAAACACAAGAAAATGAGAAAAAGCCCCAAAAGAAAAATAACATCGGAAATTTTCATATTTTTCTTGAGAAATGCATTTATACTACGCAAGAGCCCATTTTTTGCTGACCGGTCTCACTTCAAACGCTTTTTTTTATTTTTTTAAAGACCAAATGCTTTAATTATAAGAGCAGACTTTGCTTTTCGTTTCATTTAATTAAGTTGTTTCGAGAATGAAGCTCAATTTTGTTTGACAGATAAAACGAAAAAAATATGTCTGAATTTTTAAAACCTTCATACTTTTTAATTATTAATAAAACAGGCATTTTTATATTCTTATATAAAAAACCAACATATATTTTCTTATATCTTAAAACAAAGTTTAATGCTAGTGAACTGCTTTACTCAAAATGTTGGTTTGTTTAAAAAAAGTTTATATTTAATTAAATATTCTTTGTGGTAAGAATTTATACAAAAAGAATGTTATTTTGTATTTTTAATAGCTGTTTTCGATAAAACTTAAAGCTTTCTCATTTTGGCCAACGAAAAAGTGGTTTAATGTATTCATATCTATATGTGAATTCTATTCAATTCTTTTTGATAAAGCTTATCTAAGTCCATGGCATTTCTTTCTGCGAAAATTGTATATTCAAATAGAAAAACTCATTTCTGTAATCCAGAATGAGATCAACGTTCAGCCTCCACCGACTGTTTCCTGTCATAAATCATGCTCACAAAGCTAATTCCCAAAATGAAACAAATCTTACTCCGGCTTACGAAAAAATGAGCAGAAACAAGAAAGGAAAGCTAACTTCGGGCGGAGCCGAAGTTGATATACCCTTGCAGAATACTCTGTAAATTATATTCTCCAAAATTATTCATATGATGCATTCTAAATACTCATATAAAACCCCAACTTCCTAACTTTAAAAACACCAAAGTTATGGCATTTCCAATCGTTCAGTTATATGGCAGCTATAAGATATAGTCGGCCGATCCTTATGAAGTTTGGTAGGTCGGATTGATTGGCCAAAAATAAAACCCATAGAAAATCCCAACTTCCTAACTTTACAAACACCAAAGTTATGTCATTTCCGATCAATCAGTTATATGGCAGCTATAGGATATAGTCGGCCGATCCTTATAAAATTTGGTACGTCAAATTGAATGGCCAAATGTAAAACCCATAGAAAATCCCAACTTTCTAACTTTACAAACACCAAAGTTGCGGCATTTCCGATCGTTCAGTTATATGGCAGCTATAGGATATAGTCGGCCGATCCTTATAAAATTTGGTACGTAAAATTTATTGGCCAAATGTAAAACTCATAGAAAATCCCAACTTCCTAACTTTAAAAACACCAAAGTTATGGCATTTCCGATCGTTCAGTTATATGGCAGCTATAGGATATAGTCGGCCGATCCCGGCCGTTCCGACTTATATACTGCGTGCAAAGGAAAGAAGGGTGTGTGCAAAGTTTCAATTCGATATCTTTAAAACTGAGAGACTAGTTCGCGTAGAAACAGACAGACGGACAGACAGACGGACAGACGGACAGACGGACAGACGGACAGACGGACAGACGGACAGACGGACAGACGGACATGGCTATATCAACTCAGGAGGTGATCCTGATCAAGAATATATATACTTTATATGGTCGGAGATGTCTCCTTCACTGCGTTGCACACTTTTGACCAAAATTATAATACCCTCTGCAAGGGTATAAAAACACTTAAAAATTTCCCAATTTACTGAAGCTTACAATAAGAGGCATACAAAAATGGCAAATAAACGGAGGAGTAAGGAAATAAATACAAAAATGGAGTGAAGTAAGCCTGTAAAAGAGCGAAGTAGCAAAAACGTAGGGCGAAACACATAAATAAACACATTCAATGGCAAATAAAAAATAAATCAAACATTTCACTTGGCACAGCCAAAAATAAATAAAAACAACAACAGGGCATCAACAAAAATATTGTAGAAATGCTGGAATAATAAAAGTGAAAATGAAAAACAAATAAAAAATGTGGGCAGGGGGCGTGGCCTCTATGTCTGGAAAAACTTTTCTGCCGCTTCTTCTTCGGCAAACAGTTGCAGCAGCCGACGAAGAGGAGGAACAATAAAAAACGATGTGAAAGAGCAAAATGTAAATAGAAATAAAAATGAAGCTTAATTTAAAATGCGACGAAGCATGGCACACACACACACAAAAAAAGATCTAAAGAGTGTCCCGAACAAATATTACCTGGCATTTTGTCGGAAAATAAGTATTGCATACTTTTTTGGGACTTGGTAAGGGAAATATGTAGGTGATAAAATAATTATGGTAACTCGTTTATATGAATGAATGACTTAAAATTTTGTCGGTGAAAAGAATTAAAAACAACAAATATTTTCTTTACAAATTAGCAGTGTACATTTTTAAAAGGATGCCCGTTTATGACTTTTTAAAATTCTTATTTACTTTCCAGAGATGAAACCTTCTCGTGAGCATTCAAATTTTTACGAAATGTTATTCGTTAACTCTTCGAGTACTGGGTATAAAAATACATATACACTGGGGCCATAAACAAGCGCTAATATCAACAGAGCGGGGAAAAGGCGATGTAGATGGGCCGCTGCAGATAAACATAGCGAAAAACATTTTTCGCTCTATGCAAAGCAACTTTTCTCCTTCATTTTTGCCCCTGTATTTTTAGAAATGTGTGTGCCTTTTTTTGTAGCTTTCCTTTGGTCGCATTTTTGGGGTAACACACATACACACCGAAAAAGGATAAGAGAAGAATTCTAAAACTCGCAACCGCAAAAACCACTTCACTCCCCTGTTCTCCTAGACCAACTCCATCCACAAGTTTTTGGCCTGCTGGTGACGCTTTTTTGATAGCAGCCACAGGACCACCCAAGTAACCACCCCCTACCGACCCCCTTTGATTCACCGTAAACAGGACCCGAAAACAAGGTGTGTCCTTGCACAGTGGTGGCCAGAATGTTGGGAAAGCAGTTTGCCTAATTGAAGTGATGCCTCATTTACCGACGAGTTGAGTGCAAGTTGTTGAACTGATTTTGAACAATTTGGAAACAACAATTTACTGGTGCACATTTTGATCTCCAAGCTTAGCTCCGTAATAATAACGATTAGTTAGGAAATATGAAAGTTTTTTGACTTCATATTTTAAAATCTAAAAAATATAGTTACTAAAAATCATTTTTCCTTTTTTTGAAAGGCTCTTCTGTTTTTAATAAGCTTTGTTTTTAATTGAACATAACAAGTTCTTGGAAAGGATTTATGAATGATTCCTATAAATATTATTATTAGAAAATCTTATTAGCTGTTAGTAAATTTTTATTCTTTTCAGTAGATAAACTTTTATTTTACTAAAACTGAATATTAAGAATGAACTTCCAAACTTTAGCTAACTTTTCCACGCACTGGCCACAGTGCTTGGATTTGGCATGGATGGAGGGGCGTAACCAGACGGGGGTTTGAGGGGTTTTGTGGCGCCCAACTCAAAGTGTTCGGCGCTGCGTTGTAAAGAACTCGCATTTATCTTTATTTTTATGCCACAAACACGCCGTCTTGCTCAAAGCGAAAAAGAGGGCGACGTGGCAAGGTTCTTAGTGCGAGGCATATGGGGGTTATGGCGGAGTTAACTTTCGCACCCGCATCCTTCTGCCACGCCCACTCAGCCCACTCCACCCAACGGCCCCTTCCTCGAGGGCAAATCCAAAGCCAACATTAGCTGGGGCCACGTGGAAGGCGGCGAACGCATACAAATCACAGAGCAAAGGAGGTGCGAGTGCGAAAACGACACTCAAAAAATATTTTACACGCATACCAATACTTTAAAATTTGGAACAAATTGAGTTTTTATTTTGTAATATTATATATCTGTATCTTTTAGATACAAAAATGAATTTACTTCTTAGTTTGAGTAAATTGTCACAGAATAATCGAAAGAGTTATTCAAAAGATTTTTTTTCCATTTTAGAAAAGAGATTTATTTAGTATGTCTGTATGATAAATATATCTATGTATTATTATTATTTATAAAATATTTTCTTGAAAATCTATCTCTTGCGTTGCACGGTAGCTTTAAAATTTTTTAGTTGCCAAAATAACATTTTGCTCTCTGATTTAATTTTAAAAGTGTACAGAAAGAGGCTGGCCAGAAGGTTGTAGGTCGTTGGGGGCAGGTGGTGGGTGGAATGTGGCGGGTGGAGGGCTTAATCTCTTCAATCTTCTAGTTTTTGCTATGTAAAGTGAAGCGCTTAAGGTTTTTCCTTGAGGGGTGACAACATCAGCCAACCGCACACATCCAGTGCCATACCATCAGTTGGAAAATCGAAGCTCTTGTGCAGCACTTGAAGCGCTAAGCTAAGCTGGAAAAAAAGTGGACTTGGGAAAGCGGGGAAAAGCGAACGAGAAGGGGAGCGCTACAAGGAGCTAAGTAAAGTTCAAGTGCTGAAAGCCTGAAAAGGGGGTGAAAGTATCAGGCGAGAGCGGCGAGGACCTTGCACATCTGCCGGTAAATATTATTCAATGTAGTTCTTGAAAGCAAAATCACGTACAAACTCCGGCCAAACTCCCTTTGCCGCCGATCCGCGCCGATGGCTCTGCTTTTCGTGTTAGTTTTAATTTCAAATTATTTGTTTGGGTTCACCGTTTTTACTTCGGCCTTGGTTTGTGGCTCACTGTTTGCACTTTACCGTTTTTGTGTTTATTTTTTTTGGTAATTTCACTTTGTTGCTTTTTGTTTGTTTTTCATGAATTTTACTCTGTTTGCACAGTAGAGTTTTGTGGTTGACTTCTATGGATTGTTAGCTTTTGGGTGGACAACCCCCTTACTGGTTGTTATTTTATGTGGCCTGCTTGTGCATTTAGCCTCTAATTCCCCAATAAAAAAGGTAATCCAAAAAAAGATAGCCGCCAGAGAAACTATCTTTTAATGTGTGTTCTTTTAATATATACTCTATTGGAAAAATCGTAGTGGTTGTAAGATATATTTTCATAACTTTTTCATTAAATAAGGAATTCCGTTAAAGAAAATATTTAGCAAAGGGAATTTTTAAAGTTTAAATTCAACAATAAAACTTTATGATTGTAAAGTTTTTATTGACATATTGTATTAAATATTATGTAGCCTTAAAGATGCTTGATCATAAATTCAAATGGAATAACCAATGAACAGAAAATTAATTGAGCTTTTTATCTGTTTAACATATATTCTAGATTAATATTTTATGCACTCTCAAAGGTGTTTTTAATTTAAAAAGGATAAAATCCTTAGTGCAAATGCTTTGAATGCCTTTTTTTGAACATAAATGACATGAAGTTTCACTATTTCCAAAACATTGCAAGCACTTGGGCAATTAAATTTAAAACCAAAAGCGATTCAAGCTCTTGAGCAGAATCATGATGATTCGTTCGGTCGACTGTGCACTCACTTTAGTTGGCAAACAATGTAAACACACTTCGACCGGTGCTATACGTTTTTCCGATTCCAAATCGCGACCAACCGTAACGCTTCAAAGTTACTCCGCTACTGGTCGAAAGGATGCTGGCCATGTTCAGATAAACGTCCTGGAGCTTTGCTATAAAATCTGCGAGAGTGTCTATCTTGCTCTTGGGAACTCTCGGCTCTCCACATGCGCACTCAGCATCCGAGAGAAATGTTTGGGTTTTATTTTCGATGGGAAATATTGTCGTCGAGTGAAGAGGTTCCATCTGAGAATTACCCAAAACATTGGATGCCATAACAGCTGGCCAACAGCTGATAATTTGAGGATGGTTAGGAGCCAAAGCTTTCATAACTTGTGGAACGTTTGCTCTCCGAATAAGTTATCCTTATGTATTTATTTTTTTGCCGGCTTTTCTGTCTGTTTGATGTTGCGGTGGCCTTGCTATCCCCATTATTATCATCATTATCGTGCGACGCACTCTTGGCAGCGAAATGCTTTTCATTATGCGCACTAATGTCTATGGCCTTTATGTCTATTGCGTGCATAAGGACCCACTCTTAAATCCCGACTTGCCTCTGTTTGCACTGCGCTTTGCGTACATACCATATATAAATATAAACATATAGGGGCATGTTGGCGCACACATTATGCGGATTGAGTTGGTTTATTTGTGCTTTTCTTGGTGCTGGATTATTTTTATCATCGGGTGTGCATGTAATTTATTATAATGATTTACACATTAAGTATCATTAAGCCGAGTGCTTGGCTGCGATGTAAGAGCATATAAATTGCAACTAATTGTGCACAATGCCGCGTATGCGTGATATATACGTGAAACTTTAATGAGAAAAGCGCAAATATTTACACGCACCACAGTTATTAATAATCTGGCATCGTTTTGGGAATTTCACACAAATTCTCATCGGCACCTTAATGAGCAACTTTTCCGGTGGGCGTGTTGGGCGGAAAATGATTTCGCAAAATCATCCAGCTCCCACGCAAAACTTTCCTTCTCATCAATTCGAAACTAAGATGGGAACTTGCCAGGCACGCATGATATTTATGCCTTGCGTTTGGGTTTTCCTCCTCATTTCGCTGGGAAGTTCATTAATTTTTCTCCAGCGATTCGTTCGCAATTATGCAAGGAAACTTTTCGCCGACAGTTAGACAGACAAACAAACCGATTGGCAGTGGGTGAGATATTGATTTAATGCATTGCCGGATCTCGACGGTGGAGTTTTCGGATTTATATTTTGGCTGCCTGAGTGAGCAGCGAAATCTCCCAAAAGTTTGGCAGCAACTGTCGGTCTACACAGAGAGAAATATTTGGTAACAGATTGATTCGGAAGACTAGATATATAAACACCTAGTGACTTAAAAATGATATATTATATAAAACTATATTTTATTTCACAGTATTTTATATTTATCCTTTAATGAAATTTGGCATTTCTAGTTAATTTTTCTTAAATAGCAAAGATTATGTAAATAATATTGTTCTAGTTAATTCGTAGAAATAATGCTTATTATTTTCACTTTAAAAATCTTTTTTGAAACACCTCGGAAACCCCCATTTGTATGATCTTAGATCTAAAATCTTCAAGGATAATTTATTATATATTTTGTATTCAATTTTTAAAACATTTTTATGTGATAGTGCACTCGCTTGGAGCCTTTAAATCCTCTGAATGACGGTCGTTCCCCGGGCAACTTTGTCTGCTAAATGCTGGCATACATCTGATAATTCCCTATCAGTAACCAAACACACCGCACAAAATGCATTAAAAATATGTCAGGCATAAAAAATGTGAATTTAGCACACAGTGAATTTAGCACACAAAGTTGGGCAACTTTCGATTTTTTGTGGGCGTAGTTGTGGGGTTTTTACAAATTTGGCACCCCGCTTTATTGCCCCAGTTTTGCAAGCCCTTTTTATCTATTTTTCTCGGTTTTTTTTGTGGCTGGCGCCGCCTGCACCTTGACACTTTTGCAATTGTCGCATGAAAATATTTTTTCATCCGTTGTTATTCTTGCTCAATTTGTTTGTGTGCGCCCCCATTGTTTGGGCCAGTTTTTGTTGATTTTTATTTTCGGTTTTCCTCTATTTTTCTGTACTTTTTATTTATGGTTAGTGCAGCGAAATATTTCAGCATCAGGCGGAAAACCAAAGTGCCGAGTGTGGGGGTGGAATAGGGCCAAAAACTATGGTGGAGCCATTTGATTTTTTGGGTTTTTTTTTTGCCCCTTCTGTTCAATGAATAAATCATTGGACTACCGGGGATTGGTTGGGGTTTCGCGAAATGTAGTGAGACCGCTCTGGTAATGTTTGATAATATTTTATAGGAATGTTTGGCCCCTTTTTTGGGTTTTGCATAAATGCGACGAGAGTTGATCAAAACGAAAAGGAACCATTTCGAAGAAACGGGTTTTTAGAGAACTTTTATGAAAGTAATTTAAGTACCCAACATAGAATGAAAATATTAAGATACAAATATTAACAAATCAATGCTAACACATTTTATTTAATTTTATATATCTATTAATATCTTCCAGAAAAAGTGTCAAATGTAAGACTTTAAGAATACTGTCACAGCAATGCAAATATTTGCAAAAGCTTCAAGGAAACCTATCTTAAGATGTTAGTATTCAAGCCCTTTGACGTTTTCCCCCTTTTTCCGAGTCCATCCCATTAGTGAAGTCCTAGTCCCACTCGCAGGCTTGCGGCAAAGTAAACTAAGCAAATCTGCTGGCAATTTAATCCTTTTGAAATTTGCTTTAATTAACTCGAATAATAAGCAGGATCCGCATACTTTGGACTCCCCTTCTTTCGCAGCCTTTTTATGCTGTTTGTGGGCTTATAAGCTTTGGCACTTTGTGGTTGAAATTTTGTTCTTTTTTTTGCAGTCGGATTTCCGACATTTGCCAAAGCAAATTTCAACGGAGCGGGACTAATAAGCCAAACAAGAGACAGTGGAAAACGGGGCTATGGAAAATGGGGGGCGGGACTTGCAGACGAAGTTAATACGACACAGCTGCCCTCGCAGTTGGTGGGCAATTGAAAAGTTTATTAATAACCAGCAGAAACCGCAGTGCCAGCCATAGGAACTTTAAACAGATTCCTGCTCTTTTTTTATTTGTTTGATTTTTATTTTTAATTAAAAGAAGGCAAGGCTGAGCGGAAGCGAGCGCGGCCTGAAGGAAATGTAATTATGTTTGAACAGCATGCGAAATATGTTTTAATTTATTAAATTAAAATAAGCGAAAACAAAACCGGAAAGAAGGAAAAAAACAAAAACCAAACAGGCAAAGGAAGCAGCCAGCCGCAAACCGAGTGCCCAAAGCAATTTGAGCCAGCGTCACACGCGGCGTATGCGTAATGTGCTCGCAACAAAATCAACGTTATGCAAATTTTAATGCGAGCATAAGGCGGAAACGAAACGGCGCTACGCTTGCCAGTTTTCTCTTGATTCTTGTTACGGCCATCGCCAGGGTATCAATTGGGCATAATGGTTTTCTATCTTGAGCTTTTAACTTATTCTTGTTTTGAACAGGTACTAACAGTATCAACCTTATTTAAATAAATATGTGCTTCAAAGAAAACTGGAAGACAAACGCATTCCCAAGCTAAAATACGAACATTATAAGTTTCTTTTTTTATACAAATAATAAATATATACATACTTTTAACTTGTTTTGTGTTTGTGTAAACCATGAAAATGTATTTTAAAAAAACATTGCCTACTTTTAAGGGCCCAGCGAACAAAAGAATTGCATGATATATTTACTGCAAAAATCATGAAAATAAATGCAATCATTTATATAAACAACTTTTATAAAAGCCCAACCAAATAATTGAGCCATAACAAACCGATTTCAGCTTTCCGAGCAATTGAACAATACCAGGGTATCGAATAAATCCAACCCAAATCGGCGCAGGACTTCTTCGTCCTGCCCCTCGCCCTGCACTTGTACTTGTATTTACATATGCGTCCGTATGTGTATTTGCCAGAGCACTCTCCTGGCGCGAAATTACACTTTGTTGGCAACCCGCACACACTCACATACTCCCATACTCGCAGCGCAAAAAATTGTAATGAGCTTATTAAGTCATATTAAAGTCCAAGTACAACCAATTTGATAGAAACAGCAACTGACAGCAGACTGGCGACACACATGAAAATGTTTTTATGCGCCCATTTTTTACGATAGCATTTGGCATTAATGTTAATAGCAAATGTCGCTGGCACAAGTGTATTACACTCGGAGAAAAACTGGAAATTTATAAACGAATATTAAGATTAAGCACAGATTAACAGTTCTTGAAACCAGCATAAGAAATTATTTAGGGTTAAAATACAAAATTTTTTATAACATGTATATTAAAAACTTTTGAATTCTAAAAATACTAACTTTTATCAGATAAATAATGGAAAAAAAAACTAATATTGAAATATTTTAAATATTAATTAAAGTCTCCGCATGGAATTGGACTTGTTCCTCCCGTACAGAGGTTTTAATTTTATTACACATTTAGTATTAATACAAAAGAATTAAACTACCATTAATAATGCATTTTCTTTTGGTGCATGTAATTTATTTGAATGATGTAAATGAGCTTGGCAGCAGGTGGCTTAACATTTTTATTCGCTCCGCACTGCGGTAAATTGTTCTTAACTCGGATTAATTGAGAATGATCAAATGGCTGGCGAGCTTGCACTCAAATTCGTTTTGACAGGAATTTTTAAAATTCAGGTAAATTTGTGAAGAAATACTTCATGAACAGAATTAACGTATGATTTCAGAAAAAAGGGTGTAAATGTAAGAAATGAAGCTGCTGGGTCAAATGTTTACAACAAGTGAGTTAAATCATAAATAGAATTTATGTAGACTCCTTATTAATTCCACAATTCCAATAGAAATAAGTCCCAATTTGGAGACTGCCTCAAGACTGCTGATGAGTCCTCTTGGTCAGGCGGTAATTTCTTTTTTGCTGGGCTACTTTGCCACCACAAAGTTGTCACAGATTTTTAGCAAGCTCAAACAATATTCAGACAAATTCCTGGCGTCTGGAAAGGATACAAAAGTAAACCCTGAGGATGACAGTGAACTCTTGCCCAGACGAAATGAGGTTGTGTTACTAAGCCTAGGGGAACTAACTGCTTTTGATGGCATGAGAAACGATCAACCTATTTATACCGCCTTGAATGGTTTGATATATGATCTGAGTCCGGGGCGTGAAAAGTTCCTCAGCCACGGACCCTACTCCTTTTTAGCCGGTTGCAATGCCAATAAGGTCCTGAATATTGCCTGCAATTCCATGGGCGTTTGTGCTGCTGATGTAATAAATCGCTGGGAGCAGAGCCTCAAGGCTGAATTCAATATCGTAGGTTACCTGATTGATGCTGATATAGAGAATACAAACGAGCTTCTGGAGAGCGATGATGAGTCGACAATTTTGGATGAAACGGAGCAGTCTGAGTGCATTTAAGTGTCCCTTTACTTTAGTTTGGCAATAAAATAGTTTTGAATTATTTTTTTCTGAACTAAACGAGAGGGAGGTTTAGTGCGCAAAGTAAAAAGGATTATTAAAAATTAAATGTAATTTTACTCTTAAAGAACTATTCAAATAAAAAAAATACTGTCATTTAAAAAAAACTTTTGTAATAAACAGAGAATATCAAGAAACTAACATTTGCAAAATAAAATTGTTATAAAAAATGTACATTTAATTTAATATCACTGAAAGCCACAGCCACTTTGATTAATAAAGTCTTTTTTCTGAGGGTTCAAGTTGCCTTACAAATAGTTGACTATTGGCTGAGATCAAATTAATTTTCCTTCGCTTCTTTTTCCCGTTTGACCGAGCCCTTGGCATTTGAAAAGTCGGAAAGTTTTTCCCGGCTTTGTCTTCCACTTTTTTCCCGACGCTTTGACAGGAAAATATCGACAACGGCAAATGTCGATAACAACAAATTGTTTGTCGTGTTTTTTTTTTGCCATGGCACTTTTGGACCATCAAGCTGTTGACTTTGTCAAGTTGTCGCCGAATTTTCAGGGCCTCTGGTGATTCGGGTTTCCCATTGTGTTGGTATGTGTGCGGGAAAAACTTTGTGCCAAACACGCAATTGACTGAAATTGAATTGAAAGCTGAAAGCCAAGAAGTGACAAAGAGGAAGAGAAAAGTCAGTGAATGCCGGCAGGTGCTACACAGCTAATAAAATCAAAATTACTTTTTGCCAGCGCAAAGTTTTGCAGTCGACGTGCTTAAGGAATTTAAAAAAGTTGTCCAGAAATTGTTAAGCACACACTTCAAATTCAGTCAAATGTGCAAAAGGACAACACACACACTCACTCCAAAGCACCAAGAACAACATTTGCTAAAGTGTTATTTGAAGTGTCGAATTTGATCAAGCGCAAAGGTGACAAAAGGGCTCAAAAGTTAACAACAACAAGGGGCCAAGAATAACACGGAAAAAGGGGTCGGTCCTTAAAGGGCAGAAAAGGGGGTAAAAGGAATGCTAAGCCAAGATTGAAAGAATTCGGGATATGTCCTGGAGTGGAACATTTGCATAAATTACCAAATTTACGGACTGCTTTCCTGATTTTGATTGTGAGCACTGGCTTATAATCACAGATTGCTAAAGACAAATTTAAAATTTTTGTTCTTGTAACTTTAAATCTCGCTAAATAGAGAACTTACTTTATGCGAATTATGGACCTGCAAAAATCAAAATAATTATTTCAGTATTAAGTATCTTTATTTAAATTATCATACAATGTTAATGAGCTGTTGCGATGGTTCTTTCATTATTAATGAGCCTTTACGCCTGCTTACGTTTTAAGGTAATTATTCATTCAGCTTTTAAATGACACGATTAATTATTATCCATGTCCCTTTTGGAAATTATTAATTGAATGGATACTTTATCATTTCCCCAGCATTCCAACTATGATTTTTTACTCTTTAATTAAACCCCATTTCTTATTGTTTTTTCATAATGAGTGCATTGTCCATTTGCTGGTGGCCACGCCCTACGACTATGCCATTTATGGCTTCCTATATTACTTTTGCCAAACTCTAAATTTATTACCATCTGGTTGTCATGTGCAAACGATGCTCAAACCCCTATTTTCTCGGCAGCTCGAGACCTCCTTCCACTGTCATTCATTCATTTTAATGTTTTACGTGACCCATTCGCAATCGAATCGAATGACTCATTAAATGCAGAATAGACCAAAACAGGTGGCTTTTCACCCGGCAGAAGGAGGAGCAGGTGGTGGCCATAAGAGATGTGTACGAGGTGAAAGGCAATTAACCATAAGGGCTTATGCCATGGAACGTGCCTAATTGCCAGAAAACACTACTCGAAATCTGGTTTTTGGTATTTACTCAGGCAAATGGGGGTGTGAGTGTGGCAAACAATTAGTTTTCCAATTACGACTACCAACTAAAATGTTGGCAAACAACACAAATTAAATTCACTTCAATTGCATTCTGGCAAAAGGAATGAATTCCGTTTCTTTTCGGGGCAGCAAAGTTTACTTTGCTCTTTGCCATTCGCTGCTTGCAGGAGTTAATTTAATTAGTTTTCATTTATCTAAAGTACACGCTTCATTACATAATTTAACAATTCATTAGATTGAGCCGGGTGCCGTGGTAATTGAAAAGCGCGTCACGCTCTAGTCCCTCGATTTTCCGCCGCCCCCGAATTTCCCCGTCGATCCGAGTCCTGCATATCCGAGTCCTGCTCCTCATTTCGCAGTCTGGTTTTTATGTTCACTTTGTTATTATTGCCGCCAGACAATTGCTAATGGTCGCTGTAATTATCATTAAATGCTCCGCTTTCTTTTTAATTCTTTTGCCATTTCTTTTTTCCACCTCCCAATCTCTTCTATTTTTTTCCCTGGGAACAATGGCAGTGGCTCAACAGCTGCTGGCTACATTTTAATGTGTTTGTAAAAGGATTAAGCTGCACTTGGCTCTTTAATTTGATTGCATTCGAGAGTGATTCGCTATTCATGAACAATTATGGATAAGTGAACAAATGGAATTGTAAGAACAGAAACTAAAAGGAATTTTAAATTAATTTGTTAGGATTGGCTTTTCGTTTTCTTTCTTGCTTGGCAAGTATTTAGTTTATTAACATAAATAAAACTACAATGTAAAAGAATTTAAGCAATAAATATTGAAAACTATATTACATTTATTTTATACATCAATTAAACTTGGATAACTATATAAGGAAATATTCCAATAGCTAACATAAGCTTATCTTATAATTACTTCATTTACCAAATGAAAACTCCTGTAATTTCTGTGCAACATATGAGTGCAACTCACACTTTACACTCATCTAACTTTATGCGACATTTCCCAGATATTCTCATATTTCCCCAGCAAGAGGCTTAAATTTGGCAACGAGCATTGCGACAAGTCAAATGTCATGCAACCATTTTGGCAATAATTTTTTTTTTCGGGGGACGGCGGTGTGGAAATATTTTGATGTTTTTGCTGGGCGAAATTTGATTTACAAATGGCATTGGGCTGGCCCAGAAATGGAGTCCATCTCCCATTGCCCAATGGCTTTTTGGAAATCATAAATCCATGTTGCCCAGAACGACACGAAACAAAGCGAAACGAAAGCTGAACCAGTTTTGTCTCATATTTCAAGCTTAATTGCAATTCAGGCCTGAAGGAGAGGGGCATGCAATTTGCGAGCTAAAGAGTTGACCCAAAGGCATTTTGCCGTCCTCGTCTAGACTGCGAGCCCCAGCAGCCTTGGGTTCGGGAGTTCGCAAATAAATTTCAGGCCAAACTCCGGCTAGGCCCATTAAAAGTGGCCACAGACGGGCTGTCTCGGGTGCGTTATGCGAGTACTTTATATTCAAAAGTGTGTAATTTGCAAAAATGTCGGCTCGAGCTCCGTCGGCATCGCCCCCCAGCGACACCCAGAGGCAGCAGCTGGGCTCGTCACATTAACCTGATGCCACAGGGTGGTGGGAAAGGGGCGGAAAAGGGGGGAAATGGGCGGAAAACGCTGGCCAAGTGCGCAGCGGATTACACTGAGGAAAATGTTCTAAGGTTGTAGCATTTTCTTAAACATTTCCTACTGGTATTCCAATGAAATACAAGAAGTAATATCGAGAATACAAAATTTCTTCAGATTTATTATGACTAAGCTTTTATAAAAATTATGTCTATTTAACAAATAATTTTTCGGAATTCATTATTTTTTTAAGCAGAGAAGTTAAGAAAAACTGATTTCATAATGTATCCTTTAAGTAGTTTTAATTTATTTTTAATGTGAAAAAAAGAATTAGTTAATGATGTTTTATTTTCCTATAACCTACTGTTACTATGATTAACAACTTAGTAATTTAAGAACTAAAGAAAATATATTTTATATCTTTGAATAATGAAATAATTTATTAAAACTGCTTCGAGAACCACAATTTGAGTGATTGAACGTAAAATTATGGGTTATTCTTAATAATTAAAATACAAAAATGTCCTTAAGAAATCTTTAACTTTTATAATAAAGGGACAATGCAAAGTGTGCTTAGTTGGTAACCATTTTGTTCAGTATTTGCGATGGATCCCCTAGGCAGGCGACTTTTGTAGGTCGGCGTCGCTCACTCGATGTTTCTGCTGTTGTTGTTGTCGTCAGGTCGCGGTTAATTATGTTTTTTGTATGTCCTTACGCATACCAAGAGGTAAAGGACGACGTCTTTTCAATGCGCCTGTGTGTGTGTGTGTGTGTGTGGGTGTGCTGCGTGTGTGTGATTATCGTCTCGTATTTAATGCGCACTTTGATGTGAAACATTGCTAATTTGGCTTTTTATGTTCTTGGCGTCGCTGCCTGTTTTCCCTCACACTCTCCTGATTGCTGTTGTTTTTTGCCCCGGCTTGCGGTTATTACTTTAGCTGCCGCCCATAGGCGTGGCCCTTATTTGCCATGTTTAAAGTCGCATTAATGCCCGACTGGTGACATTTTTAAGTACCTAGCTTTGGTTTCAATAATAAGTATGTAAAAAATATATGAGATGCCCGTGATTCATTGGAGGTTGTCAACAAGGCAATTGAAGGATTTAACCAAAATTGTAATGGATAACGTTAATCTAGTCAAGATGGGATTGAACAGATGATATGCATTCTTCTTTATAATTTTATAATATTTAACATTCCCATTTCTTATCAAGATTGGATTTCATTATCTGGATTTACGAACTATAGGTCATATCATTGTAGAATAGAATGACGTTAAGAATTTATTTTGTATTTATTGATAAATAATAAATGGATATTTATTTTAGTTTTTACATATTTATGTTATTAAAGTCATGTTGATACTGAAATAACTTCATATTATCCTTTAAAAATCAAAGTCCTGAAATGATTTACGAATTCAGCTTATACCGCACTTAATCTATCAATTTACTTCAATTTCCGGCCTGTTCAAAATGTTTTCACCTTAAAGCAGACTCTGAGTTGGCGTCGTTTCAATTAATCCTCGAAAAAAAGCGTTCTCGGCTTACAAAGTCGGTCTGCTTTTTTGTACCGGGGCAATTTGTGAATTGTGAAAATTGATTTATGGCATTTTCGCACAGGGATCTCACATTTCACTCTTCACTTTTCACTTTGCTGCCGATGACAGCCAACGCATGACAGCCAACAAAAACCAAAGTCAGAGCGGCAAAACCCAAATAAGGGAGTTGGAAAAAAACGGCAAGCTAAAACAAATGGCAGACATAAATCCATCATCATCAACATTATCGTAATGGCCGAGAAGCAGCCAAGCGTTTGAACAAATTGACTGCAAGCAAATTGGGCAAAGAAAGTGCAAACAAGAAAGGAAAGCTAACTTCGGGCGGAGCCGAAGTTGAATACCCTTGCAGAATACTCTGTAAATTATATTCTCCAAAATTATTCAAATGATGCATTCTTAATACTCATAAAAAATCCCAACTTCCTAACTTTAACAACACCAAAGTTATGACATTTCCAATCGTTCAGTTATATGGCAGCTATAGGATATAGTCGGCCGATCCTTATGAAATTTGGTAGGTCGGATTGGCTGGCCAAATATAACACCCATATACAATGCCAACTTCCTAACTTTACAAACACCAAAGTTATGGCATTTCCGATCAATCAGTTATATGGCAGCTATAGGATATAGTCGGCCGATCCTTATGAAATTCAGCATGTCGGATTGATTAGCCAAATATAAAACCCATAGAAAATCCCAACATTCTAACTTTACAAACACCAAAGTTATGGCATTTCCGATCAATCAGTTATATGGCAGCTATAGGATATAGTCGGCCGATCCTTATGAAATTCGGCATGTCGGATTGATTAGCCAAATTCAAAACCCATAGAAAATCCCAACTTCCTAACTTTACAAACACCAAAGTTATGGCATTTCCGATCGTTCAGTTATATGGCAGCTATAGGATATAGTCGGCCGATCCCGGCCGTTCCGACTTATATACTGCGTGCAAAGGAAAGAAGGGTGTGTGCAAAGTTTCAATTCGATATCTTTAAAACTGAGAGACTAGTTCGCGTAGAAACAGACAGACGGACAGACAGACGGACAGACAGACGGACAGACGGACAGACGGACAGACGGACAGACGGACAGACGGACAGACGGACATGGCTATATCAACTCAGGAGGTGATCCTGATCAAGAATATATATACTTTATAGGGTCGGAGATGTCTCCTTCACTGCGTTGCACACTTTTGACCAAAATTATAATACCCTCTGCAAGGGTATAAAAATAAGAAGCATAATTTCGACAAATATTGCTCATACGCAGTGGGGCTCATTAGTGAGCTTTTTGGGTACTTAATTTAAATAAATCGACTCAGCGTCAAAACATTACCCGGTTCTCATTTTGTTTGATTTGGATTCCCTTGGCATAAATTCTAATCAACTTAATAAAGTGACTTATCAAACGGCAACAAGTTTCTGCCACAGAACAAAATCATTCTTGCCGCTAGCAGAATTATATAAAACAGTATTAAACGTAGCTTAAGTCATGAGTGGATGTCCTTTGATGGTGTCGTTAATTTCCTCCTCAGACAACTGCTGGTAAATTAGTTTCAGCTCAAAGTTTGGTCCAGTCAGTCGGAGCATCTAAATTGGAACGGAAACTCCCTCGCTTTTAATGTAGTTTATAATTTAGTTACCAAAGGCCAAAAGCCAAGACCAAAATGTTTTAGCCACAATATCGCAAACAACAACAGTCAGAGGCAAAACAAAAACAAGAAAGGAAGCAAACTTCGGCAAGCCGAATATTATATTCCCTTGTAGTTATTACAAAACGACAACATTTCAATTTGTATACCTATATTACTAAAAGCAATGAAGCTATGTTTTGCTGCATTATCGTCTTAAATTACTAACATGAAAATGGGTCAAAAATTTGATCAACGTTAAATTGAAAATTTTGAATGCAGATTTTTAGAGAATGGAATCACAAGTCTTTAGAGGTATGCCATTTTGGAATCGGATTAAATTTGGTAAAGTTATGGAATCTAGAAGTCCAATTTTGGGTCAATGTTAAACAAGTCATTGGAAAATTAGAATTAATATTACATATATTATTACTAATATCATGATGTTTTTCATATTATGAATACATTGAGTTTCTAAACTATTTAAATTATGTACAAAAGTTAAGCTAAACACATATACACCATTTCTGCGATCTTTAAGGGCTTCTAAAAAGTTTTAAATGTCCCAAATACTAACTCCCTCTTCTTTTAAATTAATCAAAAGCTGTTTTAGACCTCGTGAGTAAGTGTTTTGCTTGATAATGGAAAATCTGATTACTCAGTCAATGTATGTTTGTAAATAAAAACAAACTGTTCTTTATTAAGGGCAGAAGCCAAATTTAGCAGATAAGAGCCTCAATTGATAATCGAGCAGCGCCACAGACTGATTCTGTTCATTAAATAAAAGGCATCGGAAAAGAGAAGAGGCTACACTCTTAGCGCAATACTGAATTAAAATATTTGGAGGTGGAGGTGCCGCAGTAAAATCTGTGATTTGTAAACATCGGTCCCATTTGTGAGTGTTTCTCAGAAGCAGCCATGAAATGCGGACTTTTGTGGATCCTGGTCACGACGATGGCCTTTCAAAATCTCGCGGCAGAAAATGCCAACGAACATTATACAGTGGCACAGAAAGAGAAGACAAATCCTTATTTGGAAGAAATCTATAAGCAAATTGATGCTGTTGAGGGTTTGAACAGGGTCAAGGTGAATCAAGTTTATGCTAATTATTTTCGCAACTTTAATATTTTTTCACCTTAGCACAGAGATTCAGTTGCCTTTATCATTGGCTCCAACAAGTATATAGATGAAGGAATTCCGCTTGCTAGGGAATTTATAAAAATCTTTGATTTAATAGATTTGATCTCACGTGATTACGACTATTTGAAAAGATACCTTATCGACAATTTTGAAAATGAGACGCTTCTAAATTTAGCTAATTACGAGGTTTCAAGTAAAGATCATGATAATCTTCAAAATATGGAAAATCTTCACCTCAAGCTGTTCGGAAGTGAGGACATTATTGGTCAATTAGCCAGCGGAAACCAGGTAAACTAATATTATTACAAATTCCCCTAAAAATGAAAATCATCTAATAGTTTTATTTTTAAGCTGTTCCATGTCTATTCCTGCCGATCACCACAATCCCCCCAGCAATTTTTATACTCCATGTATGTGGAATACGTCCTTGCTGAACTTAAAGCCCACGCATTGATAGTGTGGTCATGGATGATCCTCAGGAAGTTCGGACAGGGAGGATCCATTGAGCAGGAGGAAAGATCTCGAGACGCCTACATGCGAAGAGTGCCAAGCACTCTATCTAGAATCAAGGACTTGATGAACGGAGCAGATCGCTCTGTTTGGCGCTGCGACCCAAGCAACCACAAGGTCGGGGTCACCTATGAAGAGGTCACTCGCCTCCTGCAGGGTTACATTGAGAACGAGGTGGACCTAAACAGGGATGGATCCTGCAGTCGTGACTGCGCCTTTTACAAATCCACAAAGTCCGAGGGCTGCACCGACAAAAAGTTCTGCTCCGAGCAACCAAAATGCTCCGGTGGCGTGTACGACTGTCGCTTTGTGGAATCCGATATGAAGGTCTGCCAAGCGGCGAAGAACTCCAACCGGCGGTACGAGTTCATCCAGTACGAAAGTGGACGTGTCCTCGGAAATGGAGGCAGTTGCCACACGTGGTTATGCGATGCAAAAAGCTGGAGGAGATGGATTTTCATGCAATGCAGCTACTGCCTTTGCTTGTGCGATGATCAGGGTGATAATTCCGATCGCTATTTCAACCTGAGACCTGTGATCGCCGAAGTGGAAAAAAACAGGTGAGATTGACGGTCAAAATTTAAAGGATATTACCGAGTATATCCTTATTGTTCAGATGAAAGATGAACATTTGTTAAGTTTAAATTGGAACTCTAAATAACCAACCATGTATATGATCTTAAATATTTTTCTTCTGATTGAAATTAATATACAGAGTCGTGACAGGCCTTCGTTTTGTGAAGCGCAATCGCGTTTTCCACCTGCAGATTCAGGAGGGCGAACTTCTGCCACGTGGAGTCATTAGTGAGTCCACAGTGTACTGGGTACCTGTGGACAGTTACAGCGTATCCGACAAAGATGTAAGAAAGGACATCGACTACCACATGCTGAGCTACGAGAAGCGATCAATAGATCTGGATGACCTGAACGCAGACAACAACAACTCCGTGGTAACAGGATTGCGATTCAAAGTAAAAGGAACCCATCTTCATCTGGAGGCCCAATTCAGCAGATTTGAGTTCCAGAGCGGAGTGCTTATCGAGCCGCAAACAACGAGTTACTGGATGTCCGGGAGCGACGATGAACGAAGGTGATTTTCTACTCAGCTCGACAACTCTTATTAGTTATAGTACTCCCATATCTCTTCTTTTTACAGGGGTAAAGTGCCCCTGAAGGACCCCCAAGTGTCAACGCGATCCTTAGCTGCATCGATACCTTATCCAAGTGACAACCAGTTCTTCGAATTTACCAACACGGGATTCGACAAGGATGCTGGCCAGACCACTGTGCCCTTCATCGACATCCAGGACGTGATTTCGAAGCCGGCGGTTCCTCTCTCCGGCATTGGCATATATTATAAAGGACGGGATGGCTTTGGTGGCTTCCTGGCCCCGAAGATAATCACCTATGACTTCTCGCCCCACGTCCAGCTGCCCAAGTGGGAATCTGCGTAACCTTAATTGGAGGACCCAGAGAAGGATGAACTATTTAACATCAAACAATCATATTAAAATATAATAAGAAAATAAAAATGAATTGAAGCGTAAAATTACTATATGTTTGTGTATATGCTTATGCACTATATGTTTTTCTTAATATTTTTCCGATTGTTCCAATGAAATTTATATGATATGGTCGTCTGTTCTGGCCCAATCCGACTTATATAATACCTGCAACAAAAATTCAAACTTTTGGGAAGGTCAGATTTTACTAATGTACTTAATAATAAGTATAATATTAATAATTTTACACAAGTCAATGATAGTTCAATTTTAATTTTTAGTGCAGGCCAAATAAAGTTTCCTTCTTCATTCGAAAGTGAACATTTTCAGGGCAGCTCATTATTCATTTGGTGTCAACCCGCCGAGAAAAAAAGTGAATGCCGCCATCAGGTCTGACTTTATTATGACCCCAGCCAAGTCAGCTGCCTGAACCTTAACCCACTGCCAGCCTTAACCCATTCCCTTAACCCCTTAAGACTTCTGGCAAGCAAAGGCCAAATTCAGGAACCAAGAGCAGAACAACCATTTTTGTCGCATGCTCCGCGCGGATTTTGACTGCATAAAATATGAAATTAAATTGCTAGCCAACCGAATGGCGCCTGGGAAAATGACAAAAATATGAGAGACAGAAGTGCAGAATCCCCGCTTTCCCCCGCCACTTTCCCCCGCCACTTTCCCCTCGAAGCTCTTTGGCACTTTGTTGCGAATTCTCTTGGCTCTGTCGAGTTGATGACTTGCAGCTGTCGCATTTCTTTTCAGACTTTAGCAACTGCAGTGGAGCCAAACGAAACGGCTGTTGGCACCTGGTTAGCCACCAGGTGGATGTGCATGTGCATGTGGATGCGAGAGTTGGGATTTTATTTGACGGCAAATATTGCGGCATCTCATGGGAAGTTCACCGTGCTCACTCTTCAAAAATATTTGACGGGAAACATAACATTTGAGGGGAAATGCTATCCCTATTTTAATATTAACCAAAAAACATATAAGACATTGTAAAAAGTATTGTGATATTAAGTTTACAAAACAGGAAAGTAGTGTTGGGTAAACAGAAATTTATTCCGAATCGAAGAAGGCTGTGACATTCCCTTCCCATTAATTTTATTTTCTAAAATTAAACACATTTCTATTGCAGTTTTGTAAGCCTTACTTGGTTTTGAGATGGGCGAGAGAAGTTTTCGCAAGCTAGGCTTGGGTGTAATCCTGACGGCTCTGGTCCTGTATGCCCTACTCTTTATGGACACGCTGATTTACGAGGCTGGCGGAAAGATACACAATGCATTCTTCGTGAACACGGCTGGATGTCGTATTATAGCCATGGATGTGATGAACCCGACCATCGCAAAGTACACGAATTGGGAGTGGGAGGACAAGAGGTTCCACTTGGAGTGCCCCCATCAGACCTGGTTTCGAACGGAGGTGGCGAACGGTGAGTGGTATCTGAAGTTGACCCGTGACATCGATAAGATCCTGGAGGAGAACGATCTAACACACGACTGGCAAATAGAGTGCTTTTGGTTCCGGTCGAAAATAACTAGGCGATGGCGTGCACAACTGAGCCATAAAACCAGGTTCTATTTGGAGTTTCCATATGCCCTCAAAATTCCCAAGGGTTTGAGGCAAATGCGAGTGAGGTGCCTCAGTACCTTGACGAATAGCTCATTGAACGAAGATGCCTTCTTCTTCATTCAGCCGCCACCCGAGAAGTTGCTAAAGAAAGCTCCGATGACTTTAAAATACTGGGATGAGAAGAATTATTCTAGTAATGAGACTTCTCCCATTTCCGTGATGATTTTGGGCCTGGATTCAGTTTCGCATCTGAACTTGCTTCGCCAAATGCCGAAAACCGTTCGATATATGCGCCATAATATGTCGCACGTGGAGTACTGGGGCTTCAACAAGATCGGCCATAATACCTATCCAAACCTAATCGCTTTGCTGACTGGCCTTAGTGCGACAGAGTCCATGAAGTATTGGGTAAAACAGAATTGTATGGATGGTTTACCACTGATTTGGAAGGATTTCAAGAAGGCCGGGTACAATACCAGTTTCGCCGAGGACATGGCCCTTTATTCGATGTTTTACTATGGCAAGCCGGGTTTTAAGCGCCCGACCACAGATCACAATTTCCACAACTTTATGGCGACGATGTACATTTTAAGGCAGAGTAGCTCGGTGGCAGATACCCATTGCGTGGGCGAAAGGACCTTCATAGATCTCCTGCTGGAGATGAATGACAGACTGTTGCCCCACAAACAGCGGTATCCGTTCTTCTCGTTTTATTGGTGGGCCAATGGCTTCCACGAGTTCTTCAATTCACCCCGACTTGCGGATGGGAGGTTCGAGCGATTGCTGAGGAGCCTCGATGACGCGGGCATTACCAACAACACCATCATATTCTTCATGTCGGATCATGGCCTGCGTTGGGGTCGCTTCCGTAGGAGTTTCCAGGGAATGATAGAGGACAGTCAGCCCTTTTTGTCCGTTTTATATCCCGCGTGGCTGAGGAAGAAGTACCCCATGGCCATTAGAAACCTGGCTGGCAATGCTCACAGCCTGGTGACCACCTACGATCTTCACAAGACCTTGAAACATATATTGGATCTTGACTCTTTAAAGGATGAAGGTATCACCCAGAAGTCTGAAGAGTTATGGAAGCTCAAGGGTGCGCAAACTCCAAGGGCTGTCAGCCTTTTCCTTCCCATTCCGCCTTGGAGGACCTGCAACTCGTCGAACATTCCCAGTGAATTCTGTCTCTGCCACAAGCAAGTTTCCGTTCCGGAGAATAACCGAGTGGTCAAGAAATCGGCCAGCATAATAATTGAATATGTCAACAAGTTACTGGAGGAGTATCCCGTTTGCATTCCCCTGGAATTGGATTCCATAGAGAGTGCCTATTTCGCTGCTCCCGAAAGGGATAACGACTTCTACATCGAGAAGGGCCACAAGAACGCGTATCCTGAGCAGGGACCTTATTGGGATAAGCAAAGGTACGACGACAAGGACATCGTGGTGCGATTGAAGACCAAGCCGGGGAAGGCCTATTTCGAGGGGATGACCCGCCGGCATGGAAGTAAACTCTCCCTCGTTGGAGAAGTGGTTCGAGTTGTGGACGATGGCAACAAGAACAACGACTGTATCGAAAATCCCTTGCTGGAACCATTCTGTCATTGTGCTCTGTAGTTTTGTCACTTTACTCTAAAAAAAGAAAACATTAGTACTCTTTTTGCCTAAGCAATAGTCTCGTTTTTTAATGATTTTAAAGTTTCAGATCGATTAATTAGAAAAAAAAACCTATCAACTGTAACTTAAAGTCTAGCAGGAAACTTGACATAAACTTTTTACAAGATGGTCCCAAAAAAAGATGTAAAAACTAATGGATTATGGATTTTTCAGGTTAATTCCTTTGTTTGTCTTTTTTTTATTTTATATATTGTTGTAAACTTTAAACTTTGTAGATACAAACACTGAATTGGACATCCTCCAGACATTTAAAAGTATGATTTTAAATGTCTTACAATTCCAACAGTTGTTATAAACTTTGTAAGAAAACTGGGTCAACAATCCAACACTTGGCTATATCTTAGACACATTGATTCCTAGCAATCTAAAAATTAATCTACTGCTAACCAAATTTTTCTTCACTCCTCTCAAAGGAAAACCGCCTTCAATAACTTCTGGTCGTGGCAGCCACTCCCTCCATTTATTTGTGAGTTAGAACTTTTGATTTAGCACGTCGAACTTCTACCAATTAGTAGCCACCACTGCTGCAGCCGCCGAGTCCTTAAAACTTTGCCGCATGAGTTGGCAAATGCCAATGGGGCAGCATCGAATGGATGGATACGGCGATATACTCGCACCGCAGATAGTATGCAGGTGGTCCAACTGCGATTCCGAACTAATGGCATAAGCCGCTTATGTAGCATGTACTCGTACTCGCAGTTTGCTCTTACTTTTAACCCACTCACCAGCAAAAACTTTTTTAGGATTATGCCAGATTTCCACAGCACACATATAGCCACGGAAAGGGAGAAGGAGAGCAGAAAGCGAACGCTTTATAGTTTCAATATTTGCATTGTCCTGTTCGGGGAAAATCCCCTTGGCACATAGAGCTGCAAACGCTGCAAGGAATTTATAAATGGACTGGCAAACATTTGGCCAAAACTTTAAGAGAAACAGAGACAGAAAGGATTTAAAGGAGGCAGACAGACAGAGTCGAGTCAAATTCTTGAGTTTTATTGTTTTTGCCCAATTAGTCTTGGTCTCTAACCCGTCTCGGCAATCGCCTTCAATCTCTCCCCAAGGTGTCCTTAGCCCAGCGAAATTTATATACACTGGCTTAGGGTATCCTTCGGATCCTTTGGCGTCGACCAAAAGGAAGTTAAATATGTTTTATGGATCACCATAAAATGTGAAATTCACGAGCAGCATCTGTTAGGTCAGTCAATTTGTTCTTTGGTCTCTTTTATAGGGAATTTAATAAATTAGAAATTTAAAATTAAAAAAGTTTGTTTCAGCATCGAATAAAAACTGTGAGACAATATTAAAAAAAATTAATTATTAAGCTGTGCTAAAGAACCCTCTTCTTATTTGTCTTTCAGTTAGCTTGAATCATTTGGTTCAAGGCTTTGAATAGCTAACTTTTAATCCAATATTGACTCTTTAAAATCTTTCTCTTTATAATATTTTTGTATCTTATTTATTTTTTCTAACATTAGAGTATTTAAAGCTTCGACTATTTGACATTACCTTATTTCCATTTTGAGGTGTGAAGCTGAAGATAGCCGGCGAATCCATTTCCATTTTACGTGCTTGAGTTGCTGCTAAAATGATTTACGAGCCGACTTTGTTTATTGCACCTCAACAAATTCAAATTTAAATGTTTCGCAGAACTCGCAAAAATTCAACGATGGTCAGGAAGTAGACAGACTTCCGGATGAAAAAAATGTTCACAGATAATCGAATTGGAAAGCGGAAAATGAAAATGGAAACTGGCAACTGGCAACTAAAACATAAAATGCATTCAAAGCTTCAATTGATGAAATTTCCCCAAAAAAATAAATAAATCTATGTTTATGTGGATTATGTTATTTATGGTTGACTGGGAAGGAATGGGATCAGCAAACAAAAAATGTATAGATATAAATTTGCCAAACGGATGCTTTGTTGGGCACAAGAGGATACATTTTGTGCATTCGTTTGGAAGCATTTCGGCTCCTCTTCGGCCTGTTCAAACAGATTGCGAATAATGCGATTTAAATTATGCAAGCGGAAGAGAATGAAATCTGAGAAAATGAACATAAATCGACAAACATATCCAAAAAAAACGTCTTAATAAGCTCTGCGTGATTGCTTTACTGAACACAATGTTCATTTAATCAAAAATTGAAACCTTTTTATCAATTGAGAAAAAAATATATAATTTCTCTTTAATATATACTTGATTTAATTTCCCTTTTCAACAGCTAAAATAGTTTTATTTTTTCAGTATTCTATTTCTAAATAAGCGGTGAATAAATGAAAATGGGAAAATTCCATATAAATCCTTTATTAGCCATTGATAATTGCCCATCAAAGCTGAATATTAATTTCTAACAATTCAGCTAACCAATTTCTGACAATTTGGCCTTCACCAAACTAAATTAAACTATTCTCTCTGATATTACAACCACATCCGAAAATGGCTTTCATGAAATAAACAAATTATTTCCATCAGTTATTAGAAAGCCACACAAAGAAGAAACAAACCAGGACAAAAGACGCAGACAAGGACAATTACAGGGAGTCCAACTGAAGTGGAGTGTCAGGAATGGAAGTGAAATGGTCATCCTGCCATAGCAACCACAGCAGTTCATGAGGATGCTGAAAACAGGAGCAGGTCAAGTGGATCTCTTGGTGAGCAGGAAAACTAAAGGAGAATTGGAGATGACAGTGCGTACCCAAGAGCAAGCCACAGATATCAACAAGGCAACTAATTGTCCAGGTTATATCCATAATAATCATGTGATTGGTCAAACATTTTCAATATTTCCTGAACACAGCAGTTTTCTCTCTCGCCTAACTGAATTTCCCAAAGGAAAACCTCAAGAATGAAACTCCACCCACCTTTTCTTTGTTTTCGTGGCAATTTCAAACAATAAGTTGCCATTTTACTGCCGAATGCTTAACCTTGCCCTCAATTGTAAAGGGAGCAGTCGACTCCTGTTTTCCCCCGCTTTTCCTCCAGATGTTGCCCAAGATTATTTTCACCATTTTCTTTGTGCCCTTTGTTTTCTAGAAAAGGAAAATGTAGTAGCAGGACGAGGAGGAGTTTTTGTGGGCTGGAGCCTAATCAGATATTTACGCCACAGGAGGTGGCTGAAATAGAAAAATATCAAGCAAAACACTTCTTTTACACCAAAAAAAATCTTATATTAATAATTAAAATATTATAATTCCTGCAGTTTAGTGAAATTCTCTATATCCTCCGAATGATTTATTTAGAGTAACTTTTCAATATTTATTGTGATAACGATACTAAAAGGAATACTGCATATTTATTAAACAAAATTCGTTTCACATATTGGCATTTCTCTCTGTGTATTCCTATTACACTTGAGCTTTGGGCTTTCGACTCTCGCTGGGTGTTAAAATAAATGAGGAGCATTTAAAGCCAAATCCCCATGGCTAACATCATCCAGAGTCCGAATCCGAATCGGAATCGATATATGAGCCCTGTATTCCACCCCTCCCTTCTTCCTATTTTTCTGTTTCCTGGGAAATCCGATTCCTGTCAAGCTTTCCCTTAATTGGCAGCATTTATCAAAAAATTTCACAGCTATGTGGCTGGTAAATTCTGCATAAATTCTAGAGAGGTGGTTGGTCTCAAAACGAAGGCATAGTGTGTGTGGCATAAGTCCTTAGACAAATACATCTGCACCAGAACGTGTCCAAGTAGGAGAAGCCCAGGAATCAGGTCGCATGTTCCACTTTCCCTTGACTTGGAGCTCCTTTGTGTGTTCCCCGTTTGATGTGTTGTGTGTGGAAAAAGAAAGGTGGGAAAATAGAGCGCATTTCACTTGACCTGTTTGGAGGATTGAGTTCCTAGAGTGCGAACGGAAGCGGCAAATGGGATGGAAAATGTTGGAGGAGTGCATAAAGTTTGCTTAATATTTCCATTGTAGGCCAAGGCAAATATAACATAATAGTTGAGGTTATGGATCGAACTGAGAACATATCCCCCTAATTGACCCTCTCCTCCTCCTATTAATTATCTCCCATTATAAGCTGGGATTAACACTCGATTGCATTTGAGGCGCTTTAATCGCTGCTCAACCGCAAATTTCCTCCATTCCCCTGCAATCGCACTTCCGGTTCAATTGGCCACCCTCGAAAACGGAAGGATATTGCGCCTACTGCACAAATTGGGGGCGTGGCCAGCTGCTGTTCCTGGTGTATTGTTAATGAAAAGGCAGTGTAGTCGGGCTTTTCCTCCCTTTTCCTCTTGCACTTGCACAAATGAATAAATTATTGATATCCCAGAAATCACTTCGATGTGGAACTTTGTTCTGGAAAAGAGGGAAGTCCAACATATTCCGCAAAAATGCAAATATTGAAGCAGTTATGAATGTGAGTGCTTCCCTACTGCTGTAGAATCCTTTAATCCTTGAATGTCTGGCATTAATTTGCCCACCAACCTACATGAGGATTAAAGGGGGGAAATGCGTTCTGGAATTTATAGAGAGCAAGTATCCCCAACTGATTCCTGTTTTCGCACTCTTTGGCATATTTAAAGTGTGTGCAAATCACGGCTATGGGAATTAGCAGGTGGTTTAATAGGGAAAAGTGTGGAGGAAAGCGGTGTATGGGGATTTCATTTGGTCCGCTGCTCTGTTTTTGGCCCTGCTGTTTGCCAATTTTGTCGGACTGGCAAACAGCAGGGCCAAAGGATTAAGGCCTTCATATGAGGCAGCACATATGAGATATCATGCGGGCTTGCATTTAAATTGGAATCCGATGAAAGGTGAAATAGCAAGGGTTTTAGGAGGGCACTAATGGTTTTACCAGCAGAACTGTTTACCTGGTAGCAAGGTGATATGGTTTTTAGATTTTGAAAAATACTTCAGCTCCTTAAAAGTGTGTTTAATCCCTATCAATGTTGGTCAGACATGGTAATTAAAGCGATAGTAGGTAAAGGGATTTTA